TGGTGGTGGTGATGATGATGTTATTGGCCCCATGGGTGGAGGTGATGGTAACAGTGATGATGTAATGGAAGTGATGATGGTGATGATGATGGTGGTGGTGATGATGATGGTGTTATTGGTCCCATGGACGGTGGTGATGGTAACAGTGATGGTGATGATGCTGGTGATGTTAATCCTACGGATGGGGGGATGTCAGTCATGATGATGATGGAGGTGGAGAGACAATACAGACGTGGTGATGATGGCGGTGACAGTAGTAGTCATCCTGTGGATGGCGTTGATACAGATGGCAGTGATGATGGTTAAGTGCATAGAAAATTGAAGTCAAAAGTGAGTATAGCCTGGCTGATATACTGACAAGAAGGGAGGTAAGGAACATACCTGGTCCTCACCTTCATTCTGTTCATCTCAGTGTTAAGTCAGTCACACCGGCGTTTGGTGGTCGCACCCTGCTCCTGAATGGTAAGGATGTTGTCTCATTAATGCCGCTTCCCCAGCATCTCATAGCATGTCTGTCACAGAACAAGTGCTTAGTAAATGTTTGTTCTAAGAATGATTACGCTTATGGGCTTGATGCCAGGTAGACGTGGGTTCAAGTCCAGCTCTGTCATTTCTAGTATGACAAGTAATGTCAGTCAGCTGCTGTATCTCTTGTATTAATTGAATAGCTGTTTTGAGAACCTTCCTTGACAGACTACTCTAGACACCTAATGCAGCAGACTGGCCCAGTTCTCATGGAACTTCCCTTCTAGGTAAAGGAACGAAGGAGACATCTTTAGCTTAGAGTCCCTGGGTGGCACATCAGTTAAGCATTTGACTACTAGCCGAAAGAGTGGTGTTTCTGACCCACCCAGAGGCTTCTCAGATGACAACTCTGACAGTCTGCTTCCTTAGAACCGTGGGGGCACCGTGAGTCAGAATAAATTCACCTGTGGTTATTGTGATGTGCCCTTGAGTCTGAACTGACTCATAGCTGACCCTCTAGTGTGTTTTTAAAGGCAGTAAATTGGAGGAGATCACCCATCTTTCTCCCACAGAGCAGCTAGTAGATTTGAACCACATGCTTTTGGCTTGGCAACTCAACTTCTTACCTGCTAGGCCACATAGCTCCCATCAACTCAGTAGCAACCAACAAGGTGACTGAGATGAAAGAAAACAGGATGAGGTGGCAGAGATGATGGTGTGATGGCAATTCTAGCTAGAGCAACCAGGGAAGACTTCTTGGTGGATCCGAGACCAGGTCTCCTTCCTCAGTGGAATCCAAGCTGGAGGCCACAGCATGAATGCCGAGTGAGAACTGCACTGGGGAATGAGGGGCTGGATCATAGAGCCTCCCGGAGGAGAGAAGCCCCAAGAGAGGGGATGCTGGCCCATCTCCTCCCTGCAGTGTGAGGCAACGAGGATTCTAAGTAGTGGGATCAGCTGGATTCTAGACACAGAAACTGACCACCAAAGCAGGACAGAGAGGAGTGAGGAAACATCCTGATCGAGGATGGCCCTCGAGCTTGCCTAAGCCAGTGCGTGCTGAGGTGAGGTGCTTGGTGGAAGGTGATTCCACAGGGAGAGAGGCCGTGGTGATTTGGAGAAGGCTTCCCCGACCTTGTCTGTAATGATTGCCCTTAGGGGGCCATTGGGAGGGGAGGAACTAAGCCTAAGCGCTCAGCGTGGTCCCTCCACCAACCCTTCTCCTCGCTGTCTCCCAGGTGCCCAGCGAGGCCAACCCAGTCACCATGATGGCCAAGCTCAGCCAACTGACAAGCCTGCTCTCCTCTATTGAAGACAAGGTACTTGTGAGGCTCTGGAAGCTTCTCATGGCTCCTCATTGGCCACTCTTTGTTGTACCTCCCCGCCTGACTGTGCGTTTGTGCCCACAGGTGAAGGCGCTGCTGCATGAGGGTCCCGAGTCTCCCCACCGACGCTCCCTCATCCCTCCAGTCACCTTCGAGGTACGTGGAGCCAGGCTGGTGCCCCATTGATGGGAGCTGGGGACACGCCGATCCCTGCTGAAGGAGATTCTTTCCCTCAGCTATCGAAGCACGGGAGCTGGAGGGTGGTGCATGGTGGTCAGAACTGCCTCACTGCGAAGAGGATGGAAGCGGAGGACGATGCGGCTGGGGAACCTGTGCGTCCACTCATGGGGGGCTCCCCAGGAAAGAACTCTGGACCCATAAACTTGGTCCTTTTCAAAATAGGAGTGCTGAGACATGGTCAGCAGGAGGCCCCCAAATAGACTTCGAATTAGTCTCCAAGTGGAGAATTTAATCAGAAGACAGAAGAGTTCTTATGTTTTCTCTAAGAATCAAAGAAACTTGTTTTTCTTATAATTCATCAGAGTTTCCAATGTAGCCAACCCAGCACTGGTGCATTTTCAGAAAGGCCCTGTATGACGGACAGATGGAGACACACACACACACACACACACACACACACACACACACACACACACACACACACTCTCACACTCCCCTGCTCTCCAGGCCTAGTGAAAGCTCACTTAGACACACTTCTGTTTTCTAAGTGTGCCTTTTTCTGATTCTTGTTAAATCAGTGTCACACGTTGGTTGCCATGAGGCCTGCGAGCATATGTGAATTGCTAAATCTATTCTGGAAGCAGATGACACATCAGATTAACAAGTGTGTCCACTGAATCAGTGAATGAACCCCTTTCTGGTCATTTCATCCGTTTCCTCCACCAAACCCTTTGGCAGTGCAGCTGCCGTTGTGCACAGCTGAGGATCTGGTCTTCCCACGTGAGAGGTGCTTGAAGGGCTGTGGAAAATTGACAGGTGTCACTCACTGGATGGCTGGGGAATCAGATCTCATTGCCCCCATAGATCCAGAGGTGTGGTGGCCAGGAACAGGGGCTCAAAGGTTGGGAACACAGAAACAGAACCCATTCTGAAAGCAGACGCCACATCAGATTAATGAGTGATTAATTCATTAACCAGATTAAGGAGTGCAGATGACACATCAGATTAATGACTTCACTTGCAGGTAAAGTCAGAGTCCTTGGGGATTCCTCAGAAAGTGCAGCTCAAGGTCGACGTCGAGTCTGGGAAATTGATCATTAAGAAGTCCAAGGACGGTCCAGAGGACAAGTTCTACAGTCACAAGAAAAGTAAGGTCCCAGCGTGGCGTCCGGGTGGTAGAGACAGTGACGGTGCAGGGAGGTTCTCTGCAGGCAGAGGACCCTGGGCTGGCTCTGGGCTGGGTCCTGAACCTGCTGTGATAAACGTCAAAGTCCGGGCCTTGCTCCTAGCAAGTCAGTCAATTGCAGCAGAGAACCCACTCAGATCTGACCCTCCAACAGGTTTTCAGAGGCATAAATTGCACAGGAGGAAACTACCCATCTTTCTCCCTTGGAGCAGCTAGTGGATTTGAACTACCTGCCTTTGGGTTGGTAGTACAACTCCTTACCTACTAGGCCACTGGTGCTCCTAGTAGGTGCTCAATAAAATCGGCTACCATCATGATTTCCTTTTCCTTCCAGAGTCATGAGTGAAGCTGGAAGAGGCTGTAAAAACAGAAAGGAACTGTGAGGGGCAGATCGGGGCATAAGCCCCCACCCCTACCATTTAACAGAGTAGGGCATGCCATGCAGGACAGGGCCCACAGAGGTGCCACGTGGAGAATCGGAGGGTTAGTGGTGGCTTAAGCAGAAGAGCGACTCGTGGAAAATGAGTAGCTTAGAACTGTGCTTTCCTCTCATCTGTGGAAGGCAGGGTTTACAGCTGAGCAGGGTGGCCCCAACTTTAAAGGGAGGAAGCAGAAACCTCAGATGGGTGAAGAGGTAGTGAGGGGGCTGCAGAAATCACTTGAGGTTTCTGGGCTGGCTTTGAAAAGCACCGTGACTCAGCTGAGTTGGCCTCGGTTTAATTCTTTAAGCGTCTTCTGCACATGGGCCCCTGTGGAAGCCTAGCTCAGGGGGGTCTGCAGCAGATGGGGGTGCTGAGGGTGAGTCTGAGTGCTCAGGGCCCAGATGGCCCAAGGAAGACCTTGTTATTCTCTTATTCTTGTTATTCTATTCAGAGCCACAACAGGGGCTCTGGCCTGGGCTTTGAAGAGTGAAGGAGATTCCACCACCACCCCGCCCCCCAGTACACAGGTCTGGCGGGGGCAGGGGCTTGAGCTGAGACCTGCACATGCTGGAGCAAGAGGGGTCAGGAGTTGCACTGCCAAGTGTGGCCTGGGAGGGAAGGGCAGAGGGCCTGGGTCCCAGGTGTGGGCTGCACCCCACGTACCTGAAACCTCGCTCCTGTGGAATTGTGGGTGATGGCCACTGTCTCAGCACTGGGTGAAGTGGACTGGACACCTGTAGCCCCAAGAGGACCCAGCTGTGGGGTGCTGTGAGGGTGAATGCAATACTTGCATCCTGAGCACAGGGCCAGGCTCAGTCCCTGTCCACTTCAGGTCAACCACTAGAAAGAGGTGTGGGCTGGAGGGCAGCTTGGGTGCTCCGTGCTCTGCCCTGGTCACTACGTGTGCCCAAGACTTTGCTGTTCCATCAGAGAAAGTCGCTGTGTGACAACACCAGAGTATCTTCATACACTGCATACATACTGTGTACTAGGCACAGAGGACGCCACAGGGACAACCCCAGGTACCAGCAAGCCAGGGAGAGAAGGAAAAAGTAGATAAACCAGAAAGCCGTGAATGGGAGAGAGCAGCCGATACCTTCCCTCAGGAGGAGTCACCTACAGAACTCTCCACAAGCAGCGGCCGAGGGTACCTCCCCAGGATCTCTCAGGAGAGCTGACCAGTGCAGTGGACATGGGCAGGGTTAAGAGCACGTGGCTTGTAAAAACTGTACAACTCTGTGACGTTGTGTAATTGTTCTCCTTTTAATTTAGCTTCTCTTTTCCTCCTCTGCCTCCTGAGAATAGTTGGGGGGGGGGGGAGTCAGGGAGGGGATTATAGAGAACTGGGAACAAGATGAATCACTTCAGAGCTGAAGTGCTCCAGAACTGTCTAAATTTTAATTGTTGAGAGAAAGAAAAACATTTTAAATTAAATTTCCATGTTGATTAAAAGAAGGAACATAGAGGAAGAAAGAGGGTGAGGAGAAAAGTATGGCTGGCTGGCTGGCTAGACGGCTGGACAGAGGGAGTGTGGGAGAGAGGAAGAGGGAAGGATGAAGAGAGAGGATGGAGGGAGGGAGGGAGGGATGACAAAAAGGAAGGAGGGAAGGAGGAATGGATGAAAGAAGAAGGGAGAAAAATTGGAGGAGAGGGGAAGAGAGGAAGGAGGAAGCCGACTGCCCTCCGTCAGCGCATTGCTCTGGCCAAGCCCCCAGCCCCCAGCTTCACTCTTCCAAGAGCATCCAGGAGAAGGAGGGGGCGGGTAGGGGGACCAGACCTAATCCTGGAAAATCAAAGTGCTGATGGGGCAGGGACCCTGTACTCAGTGGCTGACCTGTGAATGGAGCAATCCCTCTCTCTTTTTTTTAATCATTGTTGCACATTTTCTCCCCTCTTCTCTTCCTCATCCCCCAGCCCACCCTGCAATGCACCCCTTGTTCCAGATTATTCTCATACACATCATGTATATTATTCTCAGACAGTTCTTCCCCTCTTCTGTTCTAATGCACTGTTCATTGTCTATCCACTCCCCATTTCCTCCCCAACACTTCCCATGCCTGTCCTATTTTTCCTTCCAGTCTTTTTTTTCTTTTTATAACAGCAGGGTTATGCAGTATTTGTCCCTTTATGACTGAGATATTTCACTTAGCACAATATCCTCAAGGCTCCCCCATGCTGTGTAATGTTTGACTATTTCATTGTTTTTCAATACTACGTAGTATTTCATTGTGTGAATGTGCCACAGTTTTGCTATTCATTCATTTGTTGATGGGCACTTGAGTTGATTCCATCTCTTTGCTATAGTGAATAATGCAGTAATAAATATGGGTGTGCATACGTCTTTGAATCATGCCTCTGATTTTTCTAGGGTTTATTCCTAGTCATGGAATTTCTGGATCAAATGGTATTTCCATTCCCAGCTTTCTGAGAAAGTGCCATACCGCCTTCCATAGTGGTTGCACCATTTTATATTCCCACCAGCAGTGAATAAGAGTTCCACACCAGCATTTGTTGTTTGCTGCCCTGTTGAACTTTGCTATTGCTTCCTGGGTGGGATGATACAGTTGTTTTTACTCTTTCTTCCTCTTTCCATTAGTCCTACAGCTTGTCAAGTCTCAAAAGTTTCCTAACAAGCTGGTGATTGTGGTGGAAACAGAGAAGGAGAAGACAGTGCGGAAGGAGTACGTCTTTGCTGACTCGAAAGTAAGTGGCAGCAGACTCCCTAAGCAGGGGTGCTAGGGACCCGTGTGTTAGAGCCTCTCTGTGTGCTGGGGAGTAGGTCCATCAGCTCAGGAGGTTCTCCCAGCATCCCCTGCTTGTCCTGGGGGCGAGGGACACTGAGCTACATGATTAGGGAGCACACTGCAGACCAGCTGGCCTCAGCTTGTCCAACTCCATCCAGCATGTGGGCTGCCTACCTGCACTGAGCTGCCTCCCCACAGAGAGGGTGGGTCCCTGTGTCTGCACCTTCCCCAGCCCCAACCTGTTAGGTGCCACTTTCCTGATGACCCAGTAATTAAATGTTGGATTTCTAGCTGAAAGGTCCAAAGTTTTAATCCAGTGGCTACCCTGAAGGAGAAAAATAGGCAGTCTTCTCCCATTAAGACTTACAACCGCAGAAGTCTGATGGAGGGCTGCCCTGAGTTCCACTTGATGAAAATGGATTTTACTGACCCATGGTAGACAATTCAAACTCACCCAGCAATACCTCAGAAGGAAGGCCTAGTAACCTGCCCCCGTAAAGACTGGAACCCACTCAGAACTGACCTTCCAGCAAGTTTTCAGAGGCAGTAAATCACACGCAAGTGGATTGCCCGTCTTCCTCCTAAGGAGAAACTGGCGGATTTGAACCTTGTGCCTTTGGGTTGGCAGCACAGCTTCTTACCACTAGACCTCCTGAGCTCCCTGGTAAACCATGAGGGGAGTTAAAGGCAGGACAGCTAGAAATGAGAACCTGACAACTGTAGGTGTCCATTATGTGTAGATGGGATTGCATAATTGTCAAAGGCCCGTTCTATTCAGTTCATTACAGGGAAGTCCCATGGTGGTGGATAAGACCACTTGTTTGTTTTGTCTTGTATCTCTCTAAAATTACTTACTTGATTGTGTCTGTTTGGGGAGGTACATTGTCTGGAATTTCTCTAATGCCGTAGCTCAAAGCCCTTTCCATCCTACATCTGTTTGTCTACAGTAACAGAGACCCTTTGAGACTAGATGAGCTAGGCAACCTATACAGGCAGACCTCAGAAAAAAAGGAATGTCATCCTGGGTGGGTATGCACTGTCAGCACCAAAATGAGAGGGCTGTCATTTGCAAAGGAAGCAGTTAAGCATTCAGCATGGATTTGGTATCCAGGCCAGATTTAGATGCTCCTTCAGGGCCCTGACAAAGCAGTCCATTGGAAAGGGTGGTGTGAGGGGTGGGGGCCTTGCTGAGTCTGTCTGTCCTTCCGTCCTCAGAAGAGAGAAGGCTTCTGCCAGCTTCTCCAGCAGATGAAGAACAAGCATTCGGATCAGTCCGAGCCTGACATGATCACCATCTTCGTGGGCACCTGGAACATGGGTACGTGCACCCACCTATATCCAAACAAGGACAGCACCTGCTACCCTGCTCCTGTCCCCACAATCACACTCTTGACCTGAGCTCTTGGGTGACAGAAGCGAGTTCCCAGGTGCCAGCAGAAAATGAAATGCAGAGTCCTAGCAGCCCTCTGGGACAGAGTATACCGATTCCTTAGACGGAGCTTAGCCAGCTCTTGCGGCAGCCTGTGCGGAGTGGCACTGCCAGCCCACAGCTCTAGCTGCCGCAGCTCTGGCTCCATCAGCAGCTCCTCTGGAGAAGGACAATCACCTCCCATGTGATTTACAGCCTCTGAAAACCCACCGGAGCGTCAGCTATGAGTCAAAGCTGGTGCTGCCCTAGGGATCTCTGAATGTTCCGATTCTTTTTCTAAAGCAACCTCACTGAACCAGGTCTTGCCCAACATCCTAAGAGATAATGGTACTTAGTTTGGCTGAAAATCACTAAACCTTTTCCCCAAGGCACCCTGGGCTTTGAACAACAAACCTCTTAGCTAGTAGCCAAGTGCTTATCTTGTTAAAGCCACCTAAGTTGTTCTGTTAGCATTTTGTGTGATATATTGGGCTCCTCACTGAAAGCCAGGAGTTCAAATCCACCAGCTGCCCCATGAGAGAAGGGCAGGCAGTCTCCTCCTCCAGGAAAGGTCTGTAGTCTCAGCAATCTGTGGGGAGGAGACGTGAGTCAGTTTCAATTCGTAGCCACAAGGTTTCGTTTTCTGGGTGTAGTTCAGCTGTCTGAATGACTTGACAGGTCTAGGTTGGCAGTTCAAGTCCCCGTAGAGGCACCTCAGAAGACAAGCCTAGAAATCTGCTTCTGAAGGACACAGCCTTGAAAAGCCCCCAGAATAGACCCGCTGTGCTGTCATGAGGCTGCCCGGAGTCGGAATAGACTCATGGGCGTGAGCAGCTGCCCCCCAGGCCTCTCCTGTTTGTGAACCCCCTGATGGTGTTGAATGTCTGTGCCACTCACTCACTTGGTGTTGGGTTTTGCTGTTGAAGGTAACGCCCCCCCTCCCAAGAAGATCACGTCCTGGTTTCTCTCCAAGGGGCAGGGCAAGACGCGGGATGACTCAGCCGACTACATCCCCCACGACATCTATGTGATTGGCACCCAGGAGGACCCCCTGGGAGAGAAGGAGTGGCTGGAGATTCTCAAGCACTCCCTGCAGGAGATCACCAGCATGACCTTCAAAACGGTGAGGGCCTGGCCCCCAAGGAGGGAACCCCAAAGCCCAGCAGTCTCTAGCTACTTCCGGCCTTGTCTTGGTCTCATGTCCCCTCACCTTCCTCAGCCAGTAAGATGCACCCAGGGGCTGTGGTGTGAAATTGGAGGGGCGCTAGGGGCAGGTGGGGGGTATCACAGGAGACTTCCTTCTCCCCCGTTCCTGCTCCTACCACCAGCTTCACACCCCACAACCTGCCCTGGTAGGGCATCGTCAGGAGTCTCTGGGACATTTAGGGGTGCCAGGAAGGGGCTCCACCCCTAGGGCTCTAGCCGACTCCCTTGTGGGTTCATGCACTGTGCCTTAGCTGCTGGACCTCAATGTCATTCTGTTGTCTCCCCCAGATGGCGATCCACACCCTCTGGAACATCCGTATTGTCGTGTTGGCCAAGCCGGAGCATGAAAACCGCATCAGCCACATCTGTACAGACAATGTCAAGACTGGCATAGCCAACACGCTGGGTGAGCTCGGCCCTTCCAGACTTAAGCCACTGCCTCAGCCATGTCGTGGGGCTGTCACAAACAGAAGAGTGTCCCCTCAGCTTTGGAGGCGAGAAGGGCTGGTTCTGTTGTCGTGAGGGTCCATTGAGCATGTTCCAACTCAGAGTGACCCGTCGCACGTAATTCAGGCGTGTGGTCCATGGGCTGTCCTTGGAAAGGGACATCATGCTGGAAAAGTAAAGAGTCTGTGAAAGAAAGGAGGACCCTCAACGAGCTGGATTGACACAGTAACTGCAGCAATGGCCTTGAGCATGGTGGAAATCATGAGGATGGTGCAGGAAAGGACGAGGTTTTGATCTATTATTGCTCTTAAGGTTGCTAAGAACTGTAGCTGGCTCGAGGGGGAGGCTTGTGCTCTGTATAGTTCCTAGTTTTGTTACTAGAAGGGTCTTGACATGCCGACACTCAGTCCAAAGGACACTCTTTACTCCTGGGTCTCCTTTCTTGGTGGTAGTAGGTCCCTTTCTCTTCTAGCTTCTTTCTCCTTTTATCTCTTGTAAGATAAGATTGTGCTGGCCACGTCCCAGAGAAACTTCCTGTCCATCTAATCAGGGCTGTGACCTGAGAGAGAGAGAGTGCTCACCTGCACACCTCAGGAGGGCCAGCGGGCTTTGAGGCTGCAGTCAAGAGCAATGTCAAGTCCTTGTATGTTAGGTGTGTGTGAGGTATGTGTGTGTGTGTGAGAGAGAGCAAGCACCTCTCAGGAGGCCAACGGGCTCTGGGGCTGAAGTCAGGAGCAATGTCAAGTCTATGTGTGTGCAAGGGGTGTGTGTGTGTGTGTGTGACAGAATGCACATCTCAGAAGCCGTTGGGCTCTAGACCTGAAGCCAAGAGCAATGTCAAGTCTATGTGTGTGTAAGCTAGGGGTGTGTGTGTGTGTGTATGTATGTGTGTGAGAGAGAGCAAGCACCTCTCAGGAGGCCAGCGGGTTCTGGTGCTGGACTCAGGAGCAATGTCAAGTCTGTGTGTGTGTGTGTGTGTGTGTGTGTGTGTGTGTGTGTGTGTGTCAGAGTGTGTGTGTCAGAGACAGAGTGCACATCTTAGGAGGTCAGCGGCTGGAGGCAGGGGCAATGTCAAGTCTATGTGTGTGCAAGGGATGTGTGTGTGTGTGTGTGAGAGAGACAGAGTGCACATCTCAGGAGGCCAGCGGGTTCTGGGGCTGGAGTCAGGGGCAATGTCAAGTGTATGTGTGTGTAAGGTGTGTGTGTAAAGCATGTGCTTGTGAGAGAGAGAGAGAGAGCACACATCTCTGGAGGTCAGCGGGCTCTGGGGCTGGACTCAGGAGCAATGTCAAGTCTGTGTGTGTGTGTGTGTGTGTGTGTGTGTGCGCGCGCGCGCGCGTGTGTGTGTGTCAGAGACAGTGCACATCTCAGGAGGCCAGCGGGCTCTGGGGCTGAAGTCAGGGGCAATGTCAAGTGTATGTGTGTATAAGGTGTGTGTGTAAAGCATGTGTTTGTGAGAGAGAGCACACATCTCAGGAGGCCAGCGGGCTCTGGGGCTGGACTCAGGAGCAGAATCTAAGAAAATTGGAAGCAGAAGTGCTGCAATCGAGTGTGAACTCCTCGGCCTTCTTGCTGTACGGCCAAACCACAAACTGCCACTAGCACTCGCCTTCCCTCCTTCCTTCCTGTCTCCATGAGGCTGGAGCCTGTGGCTCTGTGCTGCCCACACGCCTCCTTCTGGCCCCTATTCTTCCAGGCCCAGGTCCAGCCCTCCCCTCCCCCACAGAGCCTCACCGGCTCCATCCAGGCCCCTCGGCTCCTCCCTTAGTGCTGCCCCGACCTCCTTCACCTCAGGGGCCCTCAGGGGCCCCAGCGAGCATCCCCTGAGGGAGAGGTGGGAGGGCATCCGTGGCTTCACCTGAGGAGTTCACCTAGCAGCTACTCCACGTGAATCTATCCTCTTTCCCCGCTCTCCTCCTTCACTCACCATGCCCTCCGGTCCTTCTCCACCACCACTTTAAAGGAATCTCAGTGGTGTAATAGAGTAAGTATTTAGTTGCTAACAAAAAGCTTCCCAGTTCAAGCCCACCAGTCGCTCCTTGGGAGGAAGATGAGGCAGTGTGCTTCTGTAAAGCTTACAGCCTCCGAGATGCCACGAGGCCATTCACCAACCTGCACGGTCCCCGTGAGTCAGAATTGACTCCATAACAGGGTTTTGGGGTCCCTGGGTAGCAGAAATCTTTAACACACTCAGTTGCTCACCAAAAAGTTGGAGGTTCAAGTCCACTCAGAGGTGCCTTGAAAGAAAGGCCTGGCTACCCTCTTCTGAACAAGCAGCCGCCGAGAGCCCTGTGGACACCACTCTGCTCTGACACACACGGGGTCGCCCAGAGTCCAGATCGACGGGAGGAGAACAGCCCAGTGTTTTGTTTTGACATGTTTTAAACTGATGTTTTGACATTTTCTTTTTTCTCCCCCTCAGGGAACAAGGGAGCTGTGGGGGTGTCTTTTATGTTTAATGGCACCTCCTTGGGGTTCGTTAACAGCCACCTGACCTCAGGAAGTGAAAAGAAACTCAGGTGAATAAACACACACACACACACACACTCACTCACTCACACACACACACACTCCAGACTCTTCAAGAAGCAAAAAGTAACTCGGTCTCTCACCCTCCTCCCTCTCACACACACATACATGCACTCACTCCTGACTGGTTAAGAAGCAGACAAACCTTCAGGTGGTCTCTCTCTCAATCTCAATCAATCTCTATATCTCTATCATCTCTATCTCCCTCCCCCCTCCTCCTCCTCCTCTTCCTCCTCCTTCTTTTCTCTCTCTCTCTCTCCACATCTGGAGGATAGAAAAGCCATCTCTTCATCACATTAGCCTAGCAGACACCTGCACACCACCCCATCCCTCTCAGAAGGGACAGACCATCCTATGGGCATCTCCACTTACCAAAGCCCATTTCACCAACCAGTGGCCCAGCCATGAAGACAGTCATCTCGAATGTTCTCTGCTCACTTATCTGCCAGGTGTCTCGCCTCTGTTCACCAGGCCCTGCCTAACGCAACAGAGCCAGTCTTGACCCCCACACCCCCAAGGACCACCAGTGGCAGGGAGGGGAACCAATAACGTGTTGCCAGATCCTTGCCTTTTTGTGTTTTGTTTGGTTTGGTTGGGTTGGGTTTTGGGTTTTTTTATTTCCATTCATTCATTGTTGCACTTTTCTCCCTGCCCACCCCTCTCCCCAATTTGCTCTTCTCTTTGAAAAGTAAAAGAAAAATTCCTTCATTGGTATACAATCCCCCATCCCCAAGTACACTCCACTATGCAGCCTTCATTCTGGACTCTTGTCATGACCATAATAATCAATCATATATTACTTTTAAACAGCTCTCTCCTTCATCGTTTCAATGAAGTATACATAATTTATCCAGTCTTTCTCAGTCTTACCTCAACCCTGATGTCAGTCCCGTTCTAACAGTGGCACTATGCAGTATTTGTCCTTTTGTGACTAAGATATTTCACTCAGCATGATGTATTTATAACTGCCTTTTTGTTTAAACAGGAGAAACCAGAACTATATGAGCATTCTCCGGTTCCTGGCCCTGGGAGACAAGAAGCTGAGCCCCTTTAACATCACGCACCGTTTCACCCACCTCTTCTGGCTTGGGGATCTCAACTACCGCGTGGAGCTGCCCGTCTCAGTAAGGAGCCTCTCAGCGGGGCTGTGGGTCCACAGGACAGGACGCAGGGCCACTGACAGCCTCAAGGGCTTAGCTGGGTCATGGCAACGGCTCCTCACTCGAGGGACTCAGCTACACCCAGCTCCACACCCCTGCTCTTCCTTCCACCTCTTCTCTCCTCGCCTCGAGTGCCCACTTAACCATCGCGGCTTCCTGAGCCTCACCACCACTCTGCATTCTGGGCAGCCCGCTAGCCAGCTCTAGCCCTCAGTGTGCAGGCTCTTAAGTCCCCAAGAAAGCTGCGGGAAGGACCAGTTCCTTTTTCTCCCCATCTGATGGGTCACACTTCACCCCCCACTGTCCAGTCAGCAGTGGTCAGTGGACCCATGTGGCACAGAGCACAGCCTTGTGCCCTCAGAAAGGAGGGACAGGCACATGCCAGAGGATGTGGCTGGAAGTGGAGCTCAGTCCTCTGGCTCTCCTGAAGGACAGGGGCTCAGGACAGGAAATGATGCTGCTGTCCTCAGCCCATTGTCTCCAGCCTGCCCAAGAGCAGGCCTTTAGTCCTCGTCTGAGGGAATGTTTTAGTGAAGTTACAGTAAAATACGTAAGTGATCCTCGATGGTGTAATGGTTAAGTGCTGAGCTATTGGTTAACCAAAAGGTGGGCAGTTCAAGCCCACCCCAGAAGTCAGGCCTGACAATCGGCCAGTGAAGGACGCACAGTCTTGAATCCCTGTGATGCAGCTTCTACTCTGCACACATGGGGGCGCTATGAGTCAGAATCGGCCTTGACAACCCTGACAACAACAACAAAATAATAATAATATAAATATAAATATAAGCTATAAATATAATTTCTATTATATATAAATATAAGTAACACAACATTTACCATCTTAACTATCCTGAGGTGAACAATTGAGCGACCTTCATCATGTTGTGTGACCACCACCACCATCCATCTCCTCGTATATTCATTTCTGACAGGGGTTTTAAGTCCTTTCTCACTTTGATCTTGTGAGGGAAGGCAGGGAGCTGCAGAGGCAGGCCCATTTTACAGATGAGAACACCAAGGTACACACTGGCTGAGGAAATCCCCCGAATCGGTTGCAGTCATTAGCAGAGTTCAGATTGAGCGCATGCCTCCAGCCCTCATCCAAGGTGTTTCCTGCATCGTTCTATCCCTGGGCTCCCTGGGGGGTCCGCAGAGACTGACTTGGAGCAGCCAGGTGGGAGAGGTGATGGGTAGACAGAGCCTGACCCTCCACATCATTGTCACAGACAGTGTCCAGGAGAGGTAGCTGCTAGATTTCAAGGCCAACACTCCATTGGCATCCCACGTTAACTCTTGGAGTCAGAGAACCAGGCCTGGTTAGGGAGCCCAAAAGACCTCAGATTTAGGGCTGAAGTCCACATTTCCTCCTAAGCTGTCTCAGTTTCTTGATAAATGGAGAGACAGAGACGTACCCACCTGTCTAGTGACATATTGATAAAAATAATAAGAGTCACTGTATTCCAAAACAAGGCAGGGTGGATGAAGCCCTAAGACTAACGTCCTGAGAGAATCTTTTCTTTCATTTTTAACATTTTATCCTGTGAGTAAAAGTTTACACAACAACCTACATTATGCAGATGGCACACTCTTGCTTGCTGAAACTGAAGAGGACCTGAAGCGCTTGCTGCAGAAGTTCAAGGATTATAATCGTCAATATAGATTGAAGCTCAATGTCAAAAAGACAGATATTCTCACCACTCGGCCAATTAGCAGCACCATGATGGATGGAGAAGAGATTGAAGTTGTTGACAGTTACAGCTTGCTTAGCTCCACAGTCAACACTCTTGCCACCAGCAGTCAGGAAGTCAAAAGATAATTGCATTAAGTAAATCTGCTGTCAGGGACCTTTCCAGAGTACTGAGAAACAACAATGTCAGTCTAAAGACTAAGGTGTGCCTGTTTTAGTCCATGGTCTTTGCAAATTACTTGCTCTGCACCAGAGAGCTGGACAATGACGAAGGATGACAGAAGAATTTATGGTTTTGGGTTGTGGTGCTGGAGAAGAGTCTTGAACATGCTATGGACCACGAAGAAAACAAATCGGTCTGTCTCGGAGAAGGTCAAACCAAGTTCCTCCTTGGAGGCTAGGATTTTGAAGCTGTGTCTCATATACTTTGGGCATGTGTCCAGGAGGGATGAATCCTTGGAGAAGGACATCATGCTCAGAATGGTGGAGGGACAGCACAGGAGACAAGACCCCAGATGAGATGGATTGATACAGTAACTAGGGCAATTGGGGTAGGTGTATCGGAGACAGTGAGACTGTCTCAGAACAGGGCAGTCTTCAGAACTATTGTACATAGGGTCACTATGGGTCACAGGAGACTTGATGGCACATAACAACAATAAAAGTTTACAGAGTGTATTATTGTTATGTAACAGTTTTAATTGTTTCTGGTCAAACATTCTTCTAAGTGGTATAGCACTGGTCTGTGCATTTCTGTACAGAGGTAACTTGTGGTTGCTGTGATGCTAAACACTGTGACACTGATGTGTCAAATGCGATAATGGTTACCCATGGTGGACAGTGTTTGCTGGAGCTCCCCAATTATAACAAATTTGGAAGCAGGAGTGGCAGCCACTTCAGAAATAGCTTGCCTCTGAAAACTCTATGAACTTGGAGAAACGATAAAAGTTATACAAGTATTCAGGTCTTTTGTTCATAGGGTTGCTATGAGTTGTCTACGACTCGATGGCACTTAACAACAACAACCATCAAGTTGGAATCAGGTCAAGGCTGACCCCCTTCCCCCACAGTGAATTTTCAGATGCAGTGAATCGCTTGGGAATTGCTTGCCCACCCTTCTAAAGAGCAGCTAGTGGATTTGAACTGCATACCATGTACCCTGCATCTGATACAGGCCATGGTCTTTGCAATCACTTGTTATGCATCAAAGAGTTGAACAATGACCAAGAAGGATAGAAGGAGAATTGATGCCTTTGAGCTGTGGTGCTGGAGAAGAGTATTGAGAATACCATGGACTGTGAGGAAAACAAACAGATTCATCCTGGAAAGGGTCAAACCTGGTTGATCCTTGGAGGCAAGGATTCTGAGGCTTCGTCTAACATACTTTGGACATGTTGCAAGGAGAGACAGGTCCTTGGAGAGTGACATCGTGCTTGGTAGGGTGGAGGGACAGCACAGAAGGGGAAGGCCCCCTTTGAGGTGGATTGATTCAGTGACTGGGGTAATCGGGATGGGTGTATCAGAGACAGTGCAATTGGCACAGGACAGAGCAGACTTTAGGGATGTTGTACATAGGGTTTCCATGAGTCACAAGTGACTCGACAGCACATAACAATAACAACAACAACAACCACCAGGTACCCTCAGTCAACCAGCACTCTTCCCATTTCCTCCTCAAGTTCTCCATTTCCATTCATCCTTCTCTCCTGCCCCTTCATGCCTTCTAAACCTGAGATCATCTTTAAATCTTAAATAAAAAAGGTCTCCTGAATCTTCTTAAACACCAGATAATAGTTTTGTTTAACTCGTTTTAAAGCTGTCTGGCGAGGACAGCATCTCACCAGGGCCTGGCTTGTCTCGTCGCAGGAGGCAGACCTCATCATCCAGAAGATTAAGCAGCAGCAGTACCCGGAGCTCCTGGCCCACGACCAGCTGCTCATGGAGAGGAAAGAGCAGAAGGTTTTCCTGCACTTCGGTGAGCACGGTATCCCCTTCTCTACGGCCCCCTGCACCCCTGCCCACCTCCCTCACCCCACAGGCTCACCCAGAAAGGGGGTGCCCACACAAGAGGGCAGGTGTGATGCTTGGGGAGCTGCCTGGCCCCCAGTACTGCGCTGGCTTTCAGGAACGGGACGTGCAGACACCCTTCAAGTCACACACTTTGCGGGCACTGCCTTCTTACTACACCCCGAAGGCTTGTAGCAACCTTGGCTCGAGCAGCTCTGCTGGTGCCGTTTTCCCAACGGCGTGTGCTCGCCGCGTGCTTCTCTGTCTCACATGTTGGTAATTCCCACAATACTTCGAACTTGTCCTCACGGTTTGGCACACTTGACAGACTTCCAAAGAACAAGCCACACTCGCTGCCATCGCGGGTGTGGACTCGCTGTGACCCTCCGTGGGCTTCTGAGGCTGGGAGTCATTCCAGAAAGACCGCCTCTCTCCTCCCCAGAGGTGGTTGATGGATTCGAACTGCTGACCTTTCATTAGCAATACGTAATACACTAAGTCACCAAAGCGCCTTCCCACAGATGTTGTTGTTGTTGTTGTTGTTGTTGTTGTTGTTGTTGTGTGCCGTCAACTTGGAACCAACTCACAGCTTTCCCCTCAGAGGGTTTTCACAGGCTGTAAGTCACACAGGGAGAGACGGCCCATCTTTCTTCTGTGAAGCAGCTGGCGGGTTTGAACTCTGTCTGTACGTTTGAGTTGGCTGCATAGCTCCTTACCCGCTAGGCCACCCGGGCTCCCTTCATAGTGCAGAGTAACTTTTATAGCACTGGGAATTTTTTTTAAAAGGCAAAAACCTGCACTGCCAACCCGAAGGCACATGGTTCAAGGACACCAGCTGCTCCTGGGCGATTAACTGCCTCTGAGAACTCTCTAGAGGGTTGGCTATGGGTCGGTTCAACCTCGACATAAACAACATTTGCTTTATTGCACCTTTAGCATCTCCAAGGTGTGCCTGTATATTCACACACTGTTGTTGTTGTTTACCAGCCCGTACCTGAACCACAGAGGGTTTTCAGAAGCAGTTTGTCCCACAGGAAGAGACTGCCCATCCTTCTCCCACAGAGCAGCTGGTGGGATTTGAACTGTGTGCCTTTGGGGTTGCAGCACAGGTTAGGAGGCTAGACGTCTGGATTTCAGGTACTGACTCCAGAGGAAGGCGTCCTCTCTCTCTGTGGGAAGGTCCTTGTCCCAGGACACCCCTTGGAAAGGCCCTCCTGGCATTCATATTTTCTTCTTGCTGCACCTTATCTTTATTTATCTCAAAATCATTTTGTTAAACATACTCTATACTGATAAGGGATAGGAAATTTTGGTGGCCTAGTGGGTAAAGAGTTGCACTGGCAGCCCAAAGGCAGGTGGTTCAGATCCACCCCGCCGCTCCATGGGAGATTGATGGGCAAGCTCCACCCACGTGATTTACGGCCTCTGAAAACACGCTGGAAGGTCGCTAGGAGTCAATTCTGACTTGAAGGTAAGGAGTTGAGTCAAGTCTATGCTGATAATACCTCATTAACATAACAAAACCCCGTTTCCAAATGGAATTACACCCACAAATGTAGGGATTATGATTAGGACACACATGCTACAGGGCACAATCCCATAACAGGAATCAAAACTGAAACCACAGTTTCTCTTTCAGAGGAGGAAGAAATCACCTTCGCTCCGACTTACCGTTTTGAAAGATTAACTCGGGACAAGTACGCGTACACTAAGCAGAAGGCCACAGGGGTGAGTCCAGTTCCTTCGGCGGGTCCCTCCCCTCTCCACCCCTCTGCTCGCCAGCCACGAAGGTGACCAGAAAGAGAGAGGGACACTCTTACTCATCTGGAAAATAATAACAACACACCCGTTCCTCACTTATCAACATGGCTAGGTTCCAGTTGCCTCGCCAGGTCACTATGTGAAATTCCAAGCTGTGCAAAAAAGGAGAGTGTCCACATTCAATCACGAAGTGAAGGACGCTCACGTCACTTTACAAGTGCTCGATTGCATCATTAGAAAACTGCCAAACCCCTGAGATTCACAGCGCAGCCCACTCAGTGCGTCAGTTTAACCTTCACAGCCGACGTTGCTATAGTCTCCGCATCCGTTATTACCAGATGTACTTCGTTAATGCAAAAGAGTCTGATTTGTTTTCTATTGACGTCATCGTGACCTGTCGGATAACTAATCAAGTGAAGAGTATTGTAGTTAGAAGTTGCTTGTTGATTTGTGTCACAGTGAAAAGCCATCATAGGTCTGATACAAGGGTTCGTCAGCGTCAGGAGACCCTGGAGTGCTGAGGAGAACTGAGGGTCAGGGGAGCTGAACATCTTTCTGAAGCAGAGTCCAGAACACCTGAAAGTGTGAGGGCATGCTGTGGAGCCAGTGGGTACCTGCAGCAAATGAAAGGGCTTAGAGGTAAATGGAAGTCCGTATGGAGGACTTCCAGGGAAGCCTGGTAGCGTTCAGCTGCTAACGTTAAGGTTGATGATTCAGTCCCACCCCAGGTCTCTGCAGGAGAAAAGGCCTGGTTATCTGCTCCCATAAAAAAGAACAACCTTGGGAACCGCACAGGGCAGTTACCGTGTGTGAAAGTGGGTGGCTGTGACTCTGCATTAACTCAGTGGGATGGCTTTGCTGCTGGTGGTCATTCGTGGGCCTTGACAGAGCACAGGCGAAGTAATGTTTCAGTGCTCAGCTGCTGACCCAGAAAGGTCAGCAGTTCAAAGCCATCAGTAAGCAGCTCCACGAGTGAAAGGCCTGGCGATCTACTCCTGTACGGACTCCAGCCTTATAAACCCTGCAGGACAGTTCTACACTGTCCTGTTCTACACTGGAAGGCCTTCAGAGTGAGCTCAGTGACACAGCAACAGCAACCGCCCGGGGAAATTCTAGAAAGAACCATCAGCGGATGAATTCAGGGAATGTAGAGGCCACTGGGGAGTCTCTTCTTTGGTTTGAAAATAAGCAGTAGCAGTTTTGCAATGTGGGCCTCTCACTTGCAGATGAAGTACAATCTGCCCTCGTGGTGTGACCGGGTCCTCTGGAAATCGTACCCGCTGGTGCACGTGGTGTGTCAGTCCTACGGTGAGTGGAACTGGGGGTGCTGGTGGAGGGGTGCAGGCAGACTAAGTCCAGAGGACTGCATTAGACTGGAATGGCCACCTCCCCACACCTGAAGGGGCTACTCTGCTGTGTGTGCCCACCTGTGAGGTGGGGATGCTCACTGCCATCCTAACGATCACCTCAGGGCATCCGTGCCCAGCCCTCCCTCTCAGGTGACATCATAATAAGCATCACCTGTTTGGGGGGACATCTGAACTATAGAACATTTTTTTTTGTGATTTCAAGAATTTATTCATTGTAAATACCTTTTTTAAAAAATTATTTTATATTTATTTTTTTCAACTTTTTAAATATAATTTTATAGGTTTTTTTAGGTTGTTTATTTTTCATTTCAATGAACGTCTACAGAGATTTTAGAACATTTTTTTTAAAAATCTTATTTCTTTTCTTTGGAGAAGAACATACTAGGTTAGAGACAGGAAAGAGCATTTCCACAGGTCACACATGATTGAATTTTGCTAAGTTGCCCTGGCTCAGCTTAGTACAGAAACAGACACATACATGTGTTTTGGCCGATAAAGTGATGAAAAAGCCATACTGTCTGTCTTAACTAAGGTGGAGCTATAGCAGAAAGACCACACGCGGGTGATTTTAACAAACAGAAATGTCTTTTTAGAAGAGAAAGACCACAAGGGGGTTGCTTTAAGACACAGAAGTGTATTTTCTTGATACTTAGGAGTTACAAATTCAGAGTACAGGCTTTAGAAGACTCTCTCTGTCAGTTCTGGCCACAGTCCTTCCTTGGCTCTGTATTGATCTTTGTGTGGCTTCGCATCTGTCTTCACCACCTCTACTTCTAATCTGCCCTTTTTATAGCTTAAGAATGATCAAGGGAGCTCTGGTGGCCTAGTGGCAAGAAGCTGCACTGCATTCCCAGAGGCATGTGGTCCGAATCCACCAGATGCTCTGCCGGGGAAGGAGGGACAATCTCCTCCTGTAACAGTCAGATCCGATTTGACGGTATACACACACAAAATAATAAAATAATAATAATAAAAAAGAAAGACCAGCTTTAGACACTACACTGATACGGCCTTTTAACAATGTAACACATTTCTAAATGGGATTTTAACCACAGACATAGGGTTTAAAATTCACAACACATATTTTTAGGGGTAGAGGACACAATTCAATCCATAACAATATGCAATATTAAGATAAATAATTAAGAAATACAGTATCAAACAGCTGAGAAGCCACAGTGAACTCCATAAGCGGGTGACGCTGAAGGTGCTTTCCTTGGTTTAAGTGGCTTTTCTCACGAGCTCCTGCTCAGCCGTTGGACCTGAGAAGTAAGACCTGAGACATCCCCAGGGTGGAGCACCACGTGCCTGTTTATAAAACAGTGGCATCCAGGTGAGCGTGGAGGGAGCCCTCCTGGCCTCCACTATGCGTCCCGAGAGCCAGAGCCACAGGTCAGGGCCCCTGAGGGATGGAGGCCGAGTCCATTTCAATCCACACAGACAATGGCACGAAAGGCCACGCAGTCACGACCTTACGGGATCGTTGCCACACTTGTGCCCCTTGTTGCAGCCACAACCTCTACAGGAGCATTGCCGCCTGAGTCACTGCCTCGTTCACCCCACGGTGTTTTTCCTTTGCTGGTCTGTTAAAGGCTGGTGCGTCCTGTAGTTCCATCTTCCCCTCTCATCTCTTCTCACGCTTCCTGTCTTCCTCCCAGAAGCCCTCACTCTCCCCTGGCTTCTGCTTCCGCCTAATCCCATGACTTCTGACAGTCGTCTCAGCCCCGAGTGCCCATTTCCTGTCTGACACCTCCTCCTGCCTCTCAGTGGACTTGGGATTTCTGGAACAGCGTTGTCTCATTCTTCAGGCCTGCTCTGCCTCCCGCTCTCCCAACTCCATGCTCCTTAACCGCGTTGTCTACACTCAACGTCCACACTGCACTCCCACGCTCTCCTCAAGAGACAGTGCTGTCTCTCTAGAGACGCCATTTGTGGTACTTCTGTTCAGGCGCCGTGGGGCTGTGTGAGGTGGGAGAAGTGCTCTGTCTCTCTCGTCGGCCACCTAGCTGACCTCCAGGCTCCTTCCTGCCTTGAGATTTAGGGTCTTCATTAGTCAAATCAAGGAATTAGACTAGAAAATTCTCCCCCATTCATGTGGCCTGATCTACTCATAGGCCTCCAGACACATCTGGTACAGACACAGGCCACCCAGGGCACGCAGGACCGTCTTTGTCTGTGACACAGCCTTTGAGTGGATTAAGCTAAGTTGATGAGGACCACGTGGCCCTGGCACTGCCAGACGTAAGCTTAGTTCTCCCATGGACATGGCCTTCTCAGCTCAGAGATGCCTTCCTCTCCTGCAGGCAGCACCAGCGACATCATGACAAGCGACCACAGCCCCGTCTTCGCCACATTCGAGGCAGGGGTCACCTCCCAGTTTGTCTCCAAGAACGGTGAGTAGTTGGCTGGATTCGTTTCCCTTCTCCACACACAGGTGGCCCCGGCCTTCACTTGTGGGCTCCAGGCATCAGTGTCTGCGTGAGGTGAGGCCTTGTCCTTCCCAGCAAGCTCACCGTCGGTCGGTGGGTCCTTTCACATCCACGCCATGTCACAAGGGCAGTGTGGTGTTGTTGCTAAATGCCATTGAGTCAGCTCATGCCATAGTGACCCTGGAGGCTGGTCATCATGACCCTGTGATAACAGGACAGAACCGGACCCAGCCTGCTCCATCCCCACAGTCCTGCCATGCGTAAGCCCAGCGTTGCAGCACGGTCAGCCCGTCTCTTCGAGGCCTTCCTCCTTCCATGATGTCCATCTCCAGAGATTGGCCGTTCCTGCGAACCTGCTCCAAGGACATGAGGGGAAGCCTTCTAAGGCGTGTTCTCTGCCTTCCGTTTAGAGGCTCTAATTGCTCCCTGACAAACATAGCAGTTTTGTGAGGCTCGATTTTGTACAGTCTGAAAAGTTGAATTAGTTCCCAGGTGGGTGGCATGTACCATTGGAGACAATTTGGAGTGAGAGGTGGGTGAACATCGTAAGGGTCACATTTGTTGTGGTGGTGGTGGTTGTTGTTGTTGTGGGCCGTTGAGTTACCTGCAACTCATAGTGACCCTGTGTACAACAGCTCTGAAGCCTGCTCTGTCCTGAGCCAGTCTCACTGACTCCGACACACTTACCCCAATTGCCCTAGTTACTGTATCAATCCATCTCATCGGGGTCTTCCTCTCCTGCTCTGTCCCTCCACCCTTCCAAGCATGATGTCCTTCTCCAAGGACTGGTTCCTCCTGGCCACATGCCCAAAGTATGTGAGATGGTGTTTCAAAATCTAAGCCTCCAAGGAGAAACTTGGTTTCACCCTGTCCAAATAGCCGTAATTTTCTTGGCAGTTCATGGTATGTTCAGGACTTCTCCAGCACTACAACTTGAAGGCTTCTCGTCTTCTTCTGCCATCCTTAGTCACTGTGCAGCTCTCTGATGCACAGCAAGTAATTGTGAAGACCATGGCCTGGATCAGATGTACCTTAGTCTCTAGACTGACATTGTTGCTTCTCAGTCCTCAGAGAGGTCCCTCACAGCAAATTCTCCCAGTGCAATTCGTCTTTTGATTTCCTGACTGCTAGTGCCAAGAGTATTGATTGTGGAACAGAGCAAGCTGAAATTGTTAACAACCTCAATCTCTTCTTCATCCGTCATGGTGCTGCCAAATGGCCAAGCAGTGAGAATCTGGAAGGAATCGTTGGAGAAATTCAGTATCAGCAGTAAAAACTAGGTCAGATGCTAATTTCAGAACAGACCATCGACTACTCATAGGCAAGTTCAAGTTAAAGCTAAAGAAGGTCAAATCACATCCACAGGAATCAAAATGTCACCTTGAGTCTATCCTCCCTGAATTTAAAAACCAACTCAGAAACAAGTTTGAGACCTTGAACATTAATGAACGAAGACCAGAATATCATCCATGGAGAATACAAAAGGTCATTACAAAGACAGAGGAAGAAGAAAAGACCAAGACAAATGTCAGACTAGATTTTGAATATTGCACTAGAGCGCTGAGAAGCCAAAACAAAGGGAAGAAATCAAGAAGTTAAAGCACTGAACTGAAGATTTCAAAGGGCAGCACAGGAAGACAAAGCAAAGTATTATAATAAAATGTGCAAAGAACTGGAGTCAGAAAATCAAAAGGGCCGAACTCACTCAGCATTTCTTAAGCTGAGAGAACTAAAGAACAAATTTAAGTATCACATTTATTTTCATATATTTTATTTTACATTTATCTCTTCTGTATCAAGAAAAAGACATTCTGGTGGCTTAGTGTGCATTATGCCTTGTGCTACCAACCAAAAGGTCAGTGGTTCAAGTCTACCAGCTGCTCCAAGGGAGACCTGTGGATGGTTTCCTCTCATGACAATTTGGACACCATCTGGAGGGTCACCATGTGTCAGGGCACTCTTGATAGTTGTGGGCGTGGCTGTGGGGGTGAACAACATTTCTTCCATTTACTTTGTCATATATTTTCTTATTTAAATATATTTATTTAAGTTTTAAAAGTACATCTATGTAAAGACATAACAACCACAGGGCTCCTTGGGCTTGAGGATGGTGAGATTTCATCTCTCACACTTTAGACATCTTGTCAGTAGAGGTCACTCCCTGGAAAAGGACATCATGCGTGGAGAAGTGGACGGCCAGTGAGGAAGAGGAAGATCACCGAAGAGGTGACACAGTGGCAGCAGCAGTGGGCTCAGTGCGGAATAGACTGTGTCCTGTCACATGTGAGGTCACGATAAGTCAGAGCCGGAGTACTAGTGCCGAGCAACAGTAAAGACAACGTTGAGTAAATCTCAGTGCCATGTGCGGTCATGAATCACTCCAGTAATTAATACTTAAACTTGAAGTTGCCCTTGTCTCAGCAGGGCCAAGAAACTCCTCTGTAGCGTGTCCATCCCTGGACCTGGCTGAGTATGTTGCTCCCCCCTCTTCCGAACCCCAACTTCTACAGTCAGAGGAAGGCTGGGAGAGGGTCCCAAACACAGGTTGGGAAGATGATCTCCCTCTGTGTCCTTTAACCAGGAGGGACAGAGGTGAGGTGGTGCCATGTCCTCCTGGGACACACTTTTCTTAACTGCAGGGGTTAATGCCAGAGATTCTGCCAGTGTGACCTCCCTTCTCCAGCGTGGACCCACCAGCCTGTCTCCCTCCTGGCTCGGCCCCTGCCTTTCCAGAACCTTCAGAGCCTTTAGACGTAATCATCTCCCCTTATCCTGAGTTCCTGCTACGTTGATGGGGTAGAATGTTCCATCCCATCTCAGACACTGGGTCAGATGTCCTCCTGATGATGCTTAGCTTTTTCTATGGTCATAAAATAAAACTAAAAAATAACTCACGGCCCTGGGGGCGATCGTGCCTCCTAGCAACTCCACAGAACAGGGAGAAGTGCCCATGGCCTTTCCAAGGCTGTGGTCCCAACACTGCTTTGCATTCTGCTGTAAAGGACTTGCTGTTGTTGTGTGCTGTTACATCAGAACCGCCCAGTAGCTGACCCTCCCGTGCGTTTTCAGAGGCATTATCACATGGGAAGAGATTGCCCATCTTTTTCCCACAGAGCAGCGGATTCAAACCGTGTACCTTTACATTGACAGCTCAATTCCTCACCACTAAACGACAAGTGCTCCCTCATAGGTAGTAGGTGCTCTAAAATACTGGACATTGACTGAAACACCTACCTGAGCAGAGGTGTTGAGGATTTAAAAAGAGAAAAGAAGACAGGATGGCTGGAAGGAAACAGTCTCGGTGGCTCAGAATTTATATGGGATGCACTCATTCTAAAGCAGTTTAAGGACACAGCAAAAGCTTTCTCTAAGCTGCTGAAGATTATGGGCAGTTTGGCTGCGTACAATTGCGAGTGGCGATCTGACAGGAGGAATGGGGGGGTCACTGTGGCTGAGGAATGAAGAGTGATCCTCTCTCGTCTCTGACCTGAAAAGATTTAAGATGGGCAACTGAGCCATTATTCAAAATAACCTCTCTCAAGTGGGGAAACTGAGGTTCAGGGCCTTGAATGAGGCCACTACACTCAATGGCAGAGCTCAGACTCTCAACCCTTGAGCTCCCCCTGTTGACGCTGCGCTCCACATTGGCCAGCTCGCAGGCCATCCGAGAGGCACAGGGGATGGATGACCACACAGCTTTACCTCTGAAGCACCTCTTCCCGCCTTGCCGGGGCTCTTGGGAGCCTGGGGGGGAGGCTGGTTTGCAGGGCAACATCTCCAGGCATGTTGTGGAATCACACGTGTCTTCTGTTGTAGATCCAGGGACAGTGGACAGCCAAGGGCAGATCGAGTTTCTCAGATGCTACGCCACATTGAAGACCAAGTCCCAGACCAAATTCTACCTTGAGTTCCACTCTAGCTGCTTGGAGAGTAAGTGGTTGTTGATCTGCCTTGTTTTCCTGCTTTTTTCATACATAGTCCTTTCCCCACATCTCCTCTGTATGAAGGGCTCCAGATCAGTGAGGGTCCCAGATGGATGGCTCAAGGGTTGCTATGAGGGGACAGTTCCACTGTGGCCTGTGATGTGGACGCTCCAGCCCTGGGGGCAGGGATGCTACTGACCTAATGACCCCTTGGCACCATGTAGAAGGCACGTCTCCTTACCTCCCCAGAAATGCGGAATCCACTGGTGAGTTCTCCCAGACCAGGAAAGGACTCAACCCCAGAATTGTGGGGAATATTTCAGAAGGTTCTAGAAGGTCTAGTGACATGTAGTAGGGTCTGAGCAGCTATGGGCAACTATTTACTCTCCCCAACTCCCAACACTCTCTGGCCATCATGGCCATCTTTCTTTGGGGTTCCGGAAGCCCAGAGAACAAGCTGCAGACCAGTATCAACTGTGTTTGGGAAACACCCTTTTGGGTGACATTTTCGATTTTCTGAAGTGGTTTCAAAGCAAGAGAAGATCTGTGTGGCTTCCAGGCCTCCTTGCTGAGATGGCCCTGAGCGGGAGGGGGAGACGCAACTTCATGAAAGGAGCCATTTGGTGAGGGGACAATTGAGAAGCTTCCAGAAGTCAGGAAAGAGGGGGCGCTGCCCACTGCCCCACCTTTCCCTCCCAGACGAAGCCTTGGGTCCTTGCTGGCAGGTGAGCCCACTCCCCAAGTCCCTGAGACCCCAGCCACGAAGCAGGGTCAAAACCATTCCAGAAAGGAAGAGGGCTTTGTGCGGGCGTTTTTCATAAACTCTGCAGACATTTGCATACATTTCTATGGAAACAGCATATTAGGAAGCTGAAATTAGACCTCTAACGGTGCCGCGCTGAGCGGCGTGGGCTGAGTCGCAGCGCCCGCGTCCTCCCGCCGGGAGGTGATGGTTTTGGCGTCGCCAAGTCTGTGGTGAAGAGGAGCTAGAGGGAGGGGGATTGCTCTGGTTTTCCTAAAAATAATGAGAGCGTGTTGTCAGCTGACCAGTCCCCACCAGGCCGGCTCCTAAGTGCCGCTGAGAGGCGGCCACACCACGCACTGGGGAAAGCCGTCGCTGGCCCTGGTTCTAGGTCACTTTTCTGAAGACCAACCTTCTTGCCCCCCAGGCTTTGTCAAGACTCAGGAGGGAGAAAACGAAGAAGGAACCGAAGGAGAGCTGGTGGTCAACTTCAAGGAGACCCTTCCAAAGGTGATTCACGCCTCAGGGTGGGTTGGCACTCTCCAGGCCAACATCCTGTCCAAGGCCCTCACCAGAGCAAGTGGGAAGCCCACAGGCAAAACACTAGGGAGCTGTTAGTGGTGCCAATGGTCAAGGTGATAACCACGAGGTTGGAAGTTCAAGTTCACCCAGAGGGACTTCCTCAGACAGGCTGTGATCCACTTCTGAAAAATCAGTCATTGCAATCCTGTGGAGACCAGTTGACCCTGAGACATACGAGGCTGCCCTGAGGCACAATCAGGCCACACGTCTCCTTAGCCAGGTGTCCTGGAGCCTAACGGAACTTTCCAGAATGCCCATATGGTCCTGGCACCATTCTAAGTGTGACCTACCTCTTAGATAGGCGACCTGGAGTATAGTCTGGTATTGGGGGACAGAGGCGAAAACAAGCCCCTGCCTTGGGGTGGGGGGACTGTGCATGTAGGGTTTCCTCACTCCTATCTCAGCATCCAGACTAGAAAATCCTAGTAATGCTAGTAAAATCCTATAATCCTAGTGTCAGAAATAGTCTCCACATCTGAACTGGTGAGCCCCAGCCACTTGTCCACCCACCTGGTCCCCCATCTGTCCCACACCTGTCCTGCCCCTGTCCACTCACCTGGTCCTCACCTTTCCTGCACCTGTCCACTCACCTAGGCCTCACCTTTCCTGCCCCTGTCCACTCACCTGGTCCTCACCTTTCCTGCACCTGTCCACTCACCTAGGCCTCACCTTTCCTGCACCTGTCCACTCACCTCGGCCTCACCTTTCCTGCACCTGTCTCACACCTGTCCACTCACCTCGTCCTCACCTTTCCTGCACCTGTACACCCTAATCATGCCCTTATCCTTGCAGCTGAAGCCCATCATCTCAGACCCTGAGTACCTGCTGGACCAGCACATCCTGATCAGCATCAAGTCCTCCGACAGTGATGAGTCCTATGGTAAGGGGCCCGGGACAGGTGTGCCAGGTGCAACCCCTGCACTTGAGCAAGTGGCTTTTGATGTGAAGGAGCCAATACCATCGCCTCACCCTCTTCCTACTCCTGCCCCACTCTCTCCTCTCCCAACCAGGAGTGACACTTCCTAACAGGTGCCCCCTTCCATCACACTGATGTCAGGGAGTGTAACCAGGAGCCCCTCACCTCTGTCTCTGGAACCTGCCCTGGGTCAGGTCACTTCCTAACAGGTCTGCCCCCAGCCCCATCCCACTGGATGTCAGGGAGTGTAACCAGGAGCCCCTCACCTCTGGTCTCTGGAGCCTTCCCTGGGGTGGACTCTGTGTGGAGTAATGTGCAGGTGTCACTTCCTTCAAGCCTGACGACAGTCTGAAGAAGCAAGTGCTGTTCTCACAGTTAGCAGGAGAGCACACTGAGGCTCAGCGGTGAAGTGACCTGTCCAAGGTCTGTCCAGAGTAACTGCTGCCTTGGCCATGAGCTCAGATAGCCAGGCTCCAGAATCTATGCCCTCTCCTCCTGCCCAGGGCAACACTGGTGAGAAAGACCAGAGGTCAGCAAAGATCCCTGGTCAGGGCCTGAAGCATGCTGGCCATGTTCTAGATGCCTTCTCCATCGTGAGGGACAAGGACGGAAGATCCGCCTGGGTGCCAGGGTGGTTGAAGGTGCGGTGACAGGAAACAGGAAGTACAGGCCTGATCGATTTCATCTTCCTTTTAAGTGTCTAGTCCTCGTTTCCTCCTCTTGGTTCTCATGCTCACAAACAGTACACTGTGACAACACAAAGGAAAGCACGCCAGCGACAGTCTCGTCACCAGTGTAGCGTCCATTTTAACTTGAGTTCGAATTTCCATCCTCATACATGCCATCAAGATTGGAGGGAGGCTCATCTATAACCTACGTTATGCAGATGGCACAACCTTGCTTGCTGAAGGTGGGGAGGACTTGAAGCATTTGTTGCAGAAGGTCAAGGAATGCAGCCTTTAGTATGGATTGCATCTCAATATCAAGGAAACAAAGATTATTACCCCTGGACCGATAGGCAGTGTCATGATGGATGGAGAGGAGAGTGAAACTGTTAATAACGTCATCTTGCTTGGATCCACAGTTAACACCCTCGATACAAGCAGTCAGGAAATCAGGAAACACATTGCACTGGGAAAATCTGCAGTTAGGAACCTTTCCAAATTACTGAGGAGTAGTGATATCAGTTTGAGGACTAAAGTGCATCTGATTCAGGCCATGGACTTTCTGATTACTAGCTATGCATCTGAGAGCTGGACAGTGAATAAGGATGACAGAAAAAGAATTGACGCTTTTGAGCTGTGGTCTTAGAGAAGAACACTGAAATGCATGGACGGCCAAGAGAACAAACTGATAGGTCTTGGAAAGGGTGCAGCCAGAGTGCTCCTTGGAGGCAAGATTAATGAGGCTTCACCTCACATACTTCAGGCATGTTGCTAGGAGGGGCTGTTCCTTAGAGAGGGGCATGATGTTAGGAAGGGTGGAGGGTTGGTGAAAGAGGAAGACCCTCAACCAGGTGGACTGACACGGTGACTGCTGCAGTGGGCTCTTGTGTGAGGTTGTGAGGAAGTGTGAGGATGGCTCTGGGCAGGACTAGGTTCAGATCTCTTGTTCATAAAGTCACTATGAGTCATGCTTGACTCAATGGCACCTAACAACAACAACATAAATGCAGATAGGCATTTTCAGTTCTAACATCACAGAAAGGGGCTAGTGGTGAAATGGTTACTGAGGGCCGGCAGCCCCAGCTAACCTGGGACTGCTCAAAAGAAAGTCCCAGCAGTCTGCTCCCACATAGATGGTCACTGGTGCTGTTGAGTCAGCTCTGAGCCAAGGTCAACCCAGTGTACAGCAGAACCAGCCCTTGCCCCTTCACAGCCATCGCCCAGCTCAGCCCGTCACTGCAGCCTCTCCATTAATCCAGTTCCTGAAGGGCGTCCTCTTTCTCCCTGACCCCTGCACTCTACTGAGCATGAGGTCCTTCTTCAGGGACCAGTCCCTCCTGATGACATGTCCAAAATGTCTGAATGAGGTTGCGCCGTACGTCTAAGGAACATTCAGGCTACACTTCTTTTTTTTTATCCCCCCAGGTCTGACATATATATTTTCAAGATATACAAAATCTAGTAATCGTTTATATTATAAATCTTAACTTTAAATCAACAAAAATTTTAATTTTTAATTAATTTTAATGAAAGCTTACAGAGACTTAGGGTTTCCATTCATTCATTGTTGCACTTTTCTCCCTACCCAACCCCTCCCTCTCCAATTCTCTCTCGTCTTTGAAAACTAAAAGAAAAAGTCTTTCATTGTTATACACTCCATCCCCCCCAAGTCCATTACACTGTGCAGCCTTCATTTTGGACGATGGATTCATTTAATCTGTGAATGCATCACCTAGAAACCCCTAAGTGACAGTGCTACTCTGTCACTTGGAGGCCCCTATGAATCAAAGTCAATTTAGCACTCCCTTAGAACAAAGCAGCAGAGACTTTCTATTTTTCCTCATCTAAACTAGACCAGAAGTGTTTTCCATCCTCCTCGTGTGGACATGGCCCTCCAGTTTCCCCGTCCTCCTAATTGGCATATTTGGTGGCTGTATCACAGTCCATAGATATCCTGGGACTCTATTTTAAATGTATTTCATCACTGATCACCCCTACGGAGGCTACCATGCCATTGATTTTGTCAATGTCATCAGTAATGCTGGATGCATCTTTCTGTCAACATTTTCTCATTCTTTTTCAGCTACATGCATTTTACTAGTTCTTTCTTTAGAATACATCTCCTTGTACATTGTATCAAACCTTTGTGGCTCTTTTTGTTACATGTCATCAAGTTGAAACCGACTCTTAGCCGATCCTCCAGCAGGTTGTCAGGGGCAGTAAATCACATGAGAGGAGACTGCCTGTCTTCCTCCCACAGAGCTGTTGTTGTAACGTGCTGTCGAGTCACCTGTAACTCCTAGTGACCCTGTGTACAACAGCCCTGAAACCTGCTCTGTCCTGTGCCAACTTTACTGGCTCTGACACACCTACCATCATTACCCCAGTCACTGTATCCCTCCATCTCATCAATGGTCTCCCTCTCTTTCTCTATCCCTTCACCCTTCCTAGTGTGATGTCCCTCTCTAAGGACTGGTCTCTCCTTGCAATATCCCCAAAGTATGTCAGACGAAGCCTCAGAATCCTTGCCTCCAAGGAGCAGCCTGGCTTCATCCTCTCTAGGACAAACCTGTCTGTTCTCCTAGCAGTCCATGGTATATTCAACACTCTTCTCCAGCACCACATCTCAAAGGCATCAATTCTCTATCATCCCTAGTCATTTAGCAAGCAACTGCAAAGACTATGGCCTGGATCACATGCACCTTAGTCTCTAGACTGATGTCATTGCTCTTCAGTACTCTGGAGAGGTCCCTGGCAGCCAACTTTCCCAGTGCAATTTTAGTCTCTTGATTTCCTGGCTGATGGTACCAAGAATGTTGATTATGGAGCCAATTAAACTAAAGCTATTAACAATCTCAATCTCTTCACCATCCGTACTGATCCTGCCAATTGGCCCAGTGGTGAGAATCTTTGTTTTCTCAATATTGAGCTTCAATCCATATTGAAGATTGCAGTCCTTGATCTTCTGCAGCAAGCGCTTCAGGTCCTCCTCAGTCTCAGCAAGCAGGGTTGTGTCGTCTGCATAACGCAGGTTGTTGATGAGTCTTCGTCCATCCCCGGGCCTCTGGGTTGGCAGCACAGCTTTTTTACTCTGTAGGCACCCAAGCTCCCCAAAACCCATCAAACTGATTTCCAGAGAGGTTGCATGGGTTCATCTCACGATCGCATGTGTCCAGATCCCCCCACGTCTTTGCTAGCACTGAGAATTAGCTTTCTGGGTTTTTAAAATATATTCTTTTTAAGAGCATTTTGGGCTTGCAGGAAACTTGCCCAGCATATCTAGAGCTCCGTATCCCCCCTCTTCCCCCACACGGGTCCTCATCTCACGAGTGTCCTTTTGGTGCTGTCACTGGGCTGGCTTCCACCTGGGGCAACTTGGTGTGCAGGTACCAGGGCATGTTCCTGGCCCCGCACCGCCTTCCTGCTCAGTGGAATGGCTGAGTCCGTCATCGAGGGCATTTCCTCTGTCCGTCCTCGGAGGCTTTCCCTCATCCCCGCTGACCCTCGACCTTATCAGTCATGATGTTCCTCTCCTGCAGCTGGTCTTTCCTGATGATGTGTCCCCAACTAATCCAGGGGCGTTCACAGGCTTTGAAATGCAGGAGAGGTGGCTCACCTTTCTCCCCCGGAGCAGCCAATGGACTCGGGCTGCCAGAGAGGTCCCACCTTTGGGTGAGCAGTGCACCTCCCTACCCACCAGGCCACTGGAGCACCCTCCAAAGTAAGAGGGTCAAAATCGCACAGCCCGCTTCTGATATTCAAATTTGCACAGTCCGTCTTTGGCCTTGAGCTTGGAGGAGGCCTCGATGCAACTTCTTTCAGTCGTCCTGCATCTGAGTCAATCCCACACCAATCCCCTCCGCCAAGCTGCCAAGTTCAACCCCGGTGAGATCAAGGTCGTGTACCTGAAGTGTGGGGGGAAGTTGGTGTAACGTCCACTCTGGCCCCCAAGATCGGCCTTCTGGGTCTGTCTCCAAAAAGGTGATGACATTGCCAAGACCTCAAGGGTGATCAGAAGGGACAGAGAATTCCTGTGAAGCTGACCATTTGGAACAGACAGGCCCAGATGGAGGTGGTACCTTCTGCCTCTGCCCTGATCATCAGAGCCCTGAACAAACCACCCAGACAGAAAGAAGCAGAAAAATAGAAAACATAGCAGGAAGACCATTTTTGATGAGATGATTGGCATTGCCCAGCACATGCAGCACCAACTGTTAGCCAGAGAACTCCCTTTAGCATTGAAAGAGCTCCTGAGAGCTGCCCCGTCTGTAGGCTGCAGTGTTGATGGCCGTGACCCTCCTGACATCACAGGACACAGCAGTGGCACTGTGGAAAGCCCAGCTAGCTGAGAACTACAGGTGTAAGCATTTCAGGAAAGGACCATTTGTTAACAAAAAAATAAAAAGGTACAGTCCTCACTTGTAAGACTTTCTGGTTCTCTTTCTTCTAAGACTGACTTCTTCTTGCTGTTGTAATCTTCCTTCTGGTAGTTCACTGTTTTGCCGTCAAAGATAACTCACTACTCGGCGTTTACTCAGCGTTCGGATGTGTCGGTGCTGCTTCTGTCCTTTTTCACTGTCCACGCCCGTAAGGCAACTGGAGAAACCACATGCACCTTCCTCATCAGTGTGGCTCCATCCCCAAGGTGGCTTCCAAGTGGCTTTCCAATCCGCCAGATGCCCCACTGGAGAAGGAGGGGCAACCTCCTCCTGTGCCAATCAGATCTGACTCGACGGTACACGACAAGGAAGGAGGTGGCGGAAGAGGTCTTCTCCAGCACATTTCCTCGATGCAACGTGTTGTTTGGCCTCTTGACCGCTCTTTCTGTGGAGCCCTGGTGGTGTGATGAGTTACACGATGAACTGCTGATTGAACGGTCACCAGTTCAAGCCTGCCAGCAACCACTCTGCAGGAGATGAACAACGCAGCTGCTGCCTGACAGCCTCGGAGCCCCCGTGAAGCAGTGCTGCTGTCCACAGTGTCGTGATGACTCGGGATGACTCCACGCCAGGGGAGGAGGCTTCCCGGGGATGACGGTCGATCCACGCGGAGTGAATGTCTTACCCTTCATATAACTGCCGCGGGCGGTACGCGATTTCATCTCCTGATCACTGCTTCTGTGGCACGATTGTGGATCCAAGTCAGACGAAACCCTGGGCAGCGTCTGTCTTTTCTCCGTTTATCGGGAGGTGGCTTATTGGTCCAGCGGTGAGGATTTGTTTTAGGCTGCAGTGTAAGCCACGCTGCAGCCTGTGTTCTGTGATCTTCTTCATCAGGGCCGCAAGGCCTCTTCACGTTCAGCAAGCAAGGTTGTGTGGTTTGCGGAGCACAGGTTGTTAACGAGTCTTCCTCTGATCCTGATGCCATGTTCTTCCTCATCTGGCTGCTTTCCTAAAGAATGCCTTCAACCCAACAACTCGTCGAGTCAGAACCGTCTCATTGCTGCCTCTCCAGTGGGTTTGCAGAGGATCGATTTACAGATTCGGAGAACCCACGGGAAGGTCAGCTACAGATCACTTCCACCTCGACGACAATCACCGAGTGAGTAAACTGTACAGGAGGAGATTGCCTGTCTCTCCCACAGAGCAGCCCCTGGATTCGATCTGCCTGCCTTTGGGTTGGCAATGCGACTCCTTACCCACTAGGTCACCAGAAGCCCCGAAGGAGCGTCCTAGTACATTTTGGATGGTTACAGGGCTAGACGGATCCCATTACTGAAATTGACCAGTTACATGTCTTATTATGTGAAATGTTTGTCTCAGTCATTCACTCGATTTTTCTGTCGGAGATTTGACTTTGAAGGATTCATGGTTGAGTTACAATCACACCACCATTGGCTGCAAAGCGGCTGCAGTTACCGCTTCCTGTCAGGATCCTGTCAGTTCCCACTCTCTCCTCTGTGCAGAAGTGTTCAACGTCTCAGTTGTCAACACTGTCAGTCTTCCTTTGTCATTTCTCGGAGCACTTCACCTGGGAAGCTTACCACTCGTCCTCACCAGCAATCTGATTAGTATTTAATCCTGGTTTTCTGCTAGATTTCATGGAGTTCATTTTTATGTAAGGCTTGCAATGTTCCCCCAGATCGCTGTGAGTTGTTCTGGAAGGTTTCTTACATACTCCTTGCCCTGACCATCGTTTTGATGAAATATCTTGGGCTCTCAGAGCTGGATCTGCAGGTGAAGCACACGCAGTTTTCCTGGGAAGTGAGAGAATCTTGACTTGACTCAGGGTTCACTGAGAAATAGTAAAGTATACAGAACAGAGAGAGAGAGATGGACTTTATGACATTATAGGGCCTGCAAATCCTGCCTCCACGGGGCAGGTCATGGGAAGGGTGCAGGGTGAAGCGTTCTGGGTCCCAACGAAAGAAAGTCAGCTCCCCATATCCGTGGGTTCTGCTTCCTCAGGTTAAAGCAACTTCTGGTCAAAACTATGCAGGAAAAGAAACCAAACATGCAATCAGGCGGTCACAATACTCCCTCGAAGGGAAAGAGAGAGTGTGAAGTGCTATTTAAATAGCATTTGCTCTGCACGAAGGAGTTTAGGTGCACAGTTCAAATCCATCAGGTGCTCTGCGGGAGAAGGATGGGCAGTCTCTTCCCACGTGATTTACTGCCTCTGAAAACCCACTGGAGGGTCAGCTATGGGCAGATTCAAACTCAACAGCATGCACCATAGGAGCTTTGGTGGCAAAGTTCATTACGTGTTTTCCTACTAACTGAAAGGTCAATAGTTTGAATCCACCAGCTGCTCTCTGAGAGAAGGATGAGCAGTCTTTTCCCCTAAAGGTTGACTGCATTGGAGGAGCCCGGGGGAGTCCACCTCAGGTTGGTGACTTTAGGTTTTGCTCTGCATTAGGTTCTGTCTGTAACCTCACCATGATTTGACGTGTTCAGGAGGGTGTGTGTAGGTTATATGCAAATATCATGCTGTTTGATACAAGGGACTCAAGCATCCCTGCATTTTAATATCCAGGAGAGGTCTACTAGATACGGAGGGATCACGATTTCTATTTATAGTCTGAAGGCAGAACCTGCCATAAGGGGCTCATTTTCCAATCTACTGGCTTATGATGTCACACCGGATGAGATTACTGAGGTAGTCTGTTGTACCCAAGGACAGGTGATGTCATCTCATGGAACTGTTGTAAGAGAGCTGTGACAATGGACTCAGACATACCAGTGACCGTGAAAATGGCATTGAACCAAGCATTATCTATCGCTCTCAGATACGGAAGACTGCTGTGTTATACATAAGCCAACAATTCAATGGCAACTGACCACAGCAATACATGACAGCAACTAGCATGGGGGTGGAGCAGACACTGGAACCACAATCCAGCCAAGATGACCTGTAAAATTAGCTGTGATGCTGTTGTCCCCTTTCCCCAACCCTCACCAGGTGAGGGCTGCGTTGCCCTGCGGCTGGAGGCCACGGAGACCCAATGCCCCATCTACACACCTCTCACCCACCATGGAGAGATGACCGGGCACTTCCGGGGTGAGATCAAGCTGCAGACGTCCCAAGGCAAGAAGAGAGAGAAGCTCTATGGTAAGACGGCCCTCCTCAGGTCCCCCCACCCCAGTGGCACAGGGAGGTGGTTGTCTTCCTGTAGCCGACGGGTGTGGTCTCGGGGTAGAACGCAACCTTGGAAAGGCTCTTGGAGGCAATCAGGCCCAACTCTCACCTGATTCAAGACGTCCCCAGAAAGACCCCCAGCAGTCACAGCTGCTCTCCCTGAGCCCACTGAGCGTCTATCTTAAGGACCTGAAGATGGAATTTTCCAGCTCCCTCCCTCACACCATTACCAATCCGGCAGGCTGTGTTACTTCCTGTTAGAGAATAAGATGCCAGTTACCACCTAATACTGAACAGCCCATCACAGGCTGCTGGGACAGGAGGCTGCAGCCCCCAGCTCCAGGGGGATCTTGTGAGCTAGTGGCAGGCATAATTCATCAATCACAGAACTCTCCTGAGCCCAGATGAGGCCCCTGACCCTGACCCAGAACCTCAGGCAGCCACTGTTCATTGGCCAGTTTCAGCAAATGGGAACTCTGGTGATGCAATGGTTAAATCACCGAGCTGATAACTGAAAGGTCGGTGGTTCAAACCCACCAGCGGCACTGTGGCTGTCTGCTTTCACTAGGAGTTGGAATCCCCTCAGCAGTGGGTTTGGATTACTGGGGGGCTGGGCGGCAGAGTCTGCCTAAGAGCTCAGGGTTAGGCCCTCCAATCGTCTTGTCTTACCCTTTCCTTCCAGACTTTGTGAAGACGGAAAGGGATGAAGCGAGCGGGCCCAAGTGTCTGAAGAGCCTCACGAGCCACGACCCCACAAGGCTGCTGGAGCCCACCGCCAGGTAGAGCAGCGGACGTGGTGACCCGCTCCTCCCACTTCCTCCCTGTGCTTCCCATTTCCACTCATCCTTCTGTCCATCCCTTCCTGCTGTCTGAGCGTTACCCCAGGAAAAGCTGCCATGCTGGACCTGGATGGTTGGTTGTGCTAGGCAAGTGTTTCCCCCTGGTGTTCTCCATCACTGTGTGAGCCTGTCTGTTAGTTGGTTCGGGAGCTCTGGTGGCTGAGTGGTAAGAAGCTGCTCTGCAATCCTGAAGGCACAAGGTTCTAATCCACCAGCTGCTCCATGGGAGAAGGCTGGGCAGTCTCCTCCTATGCAATTAACAGCCTCTGAAAACCTGCTGGAGGGTCAGCAACAGGTCAGTCTGACTCAACAGCACACAATGACACCTGTTTGGCTGGAAGTTGAGGTGCCCAAGAGCTGTCAGTTAGGGTTCCCCCGTCTCCATCAGACCAGTAAGCCTGGTGTTTCTGTGATGTTGAGTTTTGCTCTATATTTTCCCTCCACTCCTCTTCCCAGTGTCGTCTTTTAAAAAAATTATTTTATTTTATTATTTTGTGTGTGTGTTCCGTCAAATCAGATCTGACTGGTACAGGAGGAGATTGCCCCTCCTTCTCCAGCAGAGCATCTGGTGGATCTGAACCGCACACCTCTGGGATTGCAGTGCAGCTTCTTGCCACGAGGTCACCAGAGCTCCCCCACAGTGCCTCTGAGCTTCCTTTTTCCACCTCCAATTAAACCTTTCCCTTCAACTCACCACTCCCCGTGAGCCCACTCCTCACCACCGCCCACCATCCCCTCTCCATCCCTTCTCCCCTCTCCATCTTCCCTCACCTGGGGACTCTTTCCAATACCACCACTGACACCCTCATTTTAAAACAGAGGACCTGTTACACCAGCCACCCAGCTCCTTAGTGTCCAGTGTCCCACCTCCCAGCCCGTACCCTGTGTCTGGTCTGTCTCATGTGTCTGTCTGTCCTCTTGGCATATGGGCCCCATGAGGACAGAGGCCCTGGTTGCTGTGTTCACGGCCGTTTCCTCCAGCCTGGCCCTGGCGAGCCCCTCAGGAGTGATTTCATTGTATGAATGAACACATGCAGCCCACCAACAAGTGGAAGGGTTTAGGGGCAGCTTAGGGAGCCCGGGGAACATCAGAGGACCTCATCCTCATCCCTGACCCCAGGGAGGGACGGGTCCTTGGTGTGACTTTGTCCTGTCCCCCATACAGGGTCCCTCCGTGCAGTGGTGCCAGCATCACCGAGATCATAAACCCCAACTACATGGGCATGGCGCCCTTCGGGTCAATGTCCCTGCATGGGAAGCAGGCCTTGTCCCCTGACAAGCAGCCCACAGCCTGGAGCTACGATCCACTGCCCAAGGACACCCCCCTCGGGCCCGGGAGAGGGGACAGTCCTCCAACACCACCCTCCCAACCGCCTGTTTCACCCAAGAAGTTTGCACCCTCGCCAGCCAGCCGGGGGCCCTGCCCCAGGACGCAGGAGCCAAGGTAAGTCTTCACCCCAACAGGGACGCCCTTTCTGTGTCCAGGGTCCAGCGGGTCCTCACTGCCTGGGAAGCACGTGCTCCACAGAACAGCAGCTGGCTGAGGCCGGGATGTGTCCATTCGGCCATGGACTGTCTTCAGAGTCCAGAGCTGTTAGTGTTGTTGTGAGCTGTTGTCACTGGCCCCAACTGCTGGGGTCCCCTGAGTTATGGAATGCAGTGCTGCCCTGTCCATGCCACCACCATGACCAGCTGTTCCACGTGATCCAAAGGGTTTTCACGGGCTGATCCTCAGAAGGAGATGGCCAGGTCTTTCTTCCTACTCTCTCTCGGCCTAGGCAATCCCGTTAAACATGCCTGGTGTCACAGCAGCATGTCGACTCCACTGACAGACAGGTGGCCCTGTGCATGCGGTACTCACGCATGGAGAACGGGCACTCAGCCAGAACTGGGCTTCCGCCGCCGGCCTCACTGACCGGTCGCACTCAGGAAATGTTTGTGACTCTGCAATTCCTGACTTATTATGTGTGCAGAGTTTGTGGCTGTTGTTAGGTGCCATTAAGTCAACTATGACTCCCTCCTAGCAACGCTGTGAACACCAGATCCAAAGCCTACCCTGCCCACACCGCCCTCACCCTACCCGACTCGCTCAAACCCATTGTTACCACTCTGGTTGAAGGTCTCCCTCCCTTTCACTGACCCCCCCACACGCCACCTTTCCAAGTGTGATGTCCGGCCTGACAACATGCCTCAAGTTTGTGACCTGAAGTTTCATCATCTTTGCCTCTAAGGCTGTACTTTCTCCAGGACACACTTGTGTCACATGTATGCTTCATGAATGTGGCATGTATGTGACCTGAAATCTCATCATCCTTGCCTCCAAGACTATACTTTCTCCAAAACATACTTGTTCTTTTGGCAGACCATAGGCTATTCTGTGCTCTTCTCCAACTGTAAAGGGTTTTAAATGCAGTAGAAAATAAGGGGCTCTCTGCTGGTGCAGTGTGTAGGGGGCGGCCCTGCTCACGCCGGCGGTACCTCTCTGGGCAGCTCCGTAGGGGAAAGATGGGCAATCTTCTTCCACACAAGAGCCTCTCACAGGCTTCTGCAGAGGCAGCTACGAGTAGGTTCTAACTCAGCAGTAATGGTGGCTGACGGCTGATAGGAAATGTTAAAGACCAGGCCAAGAAGAAAGAGTCCTGCTGGTGCCACAGGAAAGCACCCGACTGCTAACTGAAAGATCAGCAGTTCAAACCCACCTTGGCAGGAAAAGGCTGAAGCCCTCTGGCCTCATGAAGATGTCTGGACGTGGAAGCCTTCAGGTCCAGTTCTGCAGTGTCCTGCAGGGTCCCAGTGTGTCAGAATTGACTAGATGGCACTTGCTTTGGCTTTGGTGTTGGGGTGTTGTGTTGTTTTTTTTTAATTAATTGTAATGAAAGTTTACAGAGGCTTTGGATTTCCATTCATTCATTATTGCACTTTTCTCCCTGCCAACCTCCTCTGAAATTCACTCTTCTCTTTGAAAAGTAAAAGAAAAATTCTTTCATTGTTATACAATCCCTCTCACTAAGTCTATCCACTATGCCGCCTTTGTTCTGGACTCCTGTCATGATAATAATACCTAATCGCATACCCCTTTTAAACAGTTCTTGCTCTCATTTGTTTCAATGCAGTATGCATAATTTATCCCATCTTTCTCAGTCTCCTCCCAACCCAGTGTCTGTCCTGTTTTACAATAGTGACACCATGCGGTATTTGACCTTTTGTGACTGAGATATTTCACTCAGCATAATGTCCTCCAGGCTCACCCATTTTGAATAATATTGCATCAGTTCCTTGTTTTCAATGCAGCATAGTATTCCATTGTGTGAATATACCTCAGCTTCTCTATCCATTTGTTTGTTGATGGGCACTTGAGTTGTTTCCAACTCTTTGCTGTTGTGAACAAAGCCACAATGAACATGGGTGTACATGGCTTTGGTTTTGCCCTCCTGATCTTTTGCCCTTTCTGGGGAGCCCAGCTCTCTAGGAGCCCATCACAAGCATCACCCTGTCCATGGAAGACTGTGGGACTGAAGGAGAAGTTACCACGGGGAAGTCCCACCTCACCTTTGCCTGATGCCTGTTCCCATACACAACTTCTTCATTAGAAAGAACAGTTAGAAAAAGAAGGAGCTGGGATTGGACTGCAGCAGGGAGGTCAGGCACTGGACCAACCAAAGGCGGGTGATGGCCATGAGCTCTGGGAAGACAGGAGACGGGGAAATCTGGGAGGAAAGAAGACCCCAAAGTCCGCCTAGGCATCGAGCCAGTGATGGTCTCCCAAATCCTGAAGCCACGGCTGCTTCCCATGCTCCACCTGGACAGTAAAGTGGCTCGAGTGTCCAGGACACAGGCACGGATGGTGAACACAAATGAACCCCAATGAGCGGTGATTTCAGCTGGGCCAGATGGTCCTGCTCTTGTCTTCCCTCGGGATAGTCCGTATGGCCTCCTTCCAGTGACGAGATATTTATAATGACCACCCTTTCTTTCTTCTTTTCTCCCCGAGGCATTAGATTTCTCCATGGGCCTGTGTCAAGAGCCTGGGAGGGGGCCTTGTGAGTGACCCCATTCTTCCTCGCCCCCCCCCTTCCGGCTTCTCCTGGAGTGACCTACCTGAATTCCCCCAGAGTGAGGGGCCGTTTATGGCTTTGGTCCACAAATTCTCCAACGTGTGGAAATAGGACAGGAGGGAAGGGAGGAGGGGGAGGAGAGAAAGGAGGAGGAAGCAGGGGAAGAGAGAAGAGGGAGCACTGACGAGAAGGGAGGAGGTTGGAGGGAGAATGGAAAGGGGGATGGGGAGAAGAAGACGCAGTGTGCAGGCTCGCCCCGAGCCCAGCTCCACCAGCAAACCTGCTGTTTACAGCGTTCCAATTGTTTTCTGGATTTAAAGGACTTTCTTTTTTTTTTTTTTTTTATTTAAAGGACTTTCATTCCCTATGAAATCTGGGGGAAGGAAAAACATTGCCATTTCCTGCTCTGAGAAAATGAGGGCAAGGCTGTGTACATCTGTTTCCAAAGCTGCCAGAATGAAACCCCACAGAGCCGATGGCTTTGCACAACAAAAAGTCCGTCTGTGGCTCTGGCAGCAAGAAGTGTGGATTTGGGGTGTCAGCGGGGCCATGCTCTCTCCAGGCTCTAGGGGACCACCCTTTTGTTGTCTGTGGGCTTCTGGTGGCCCCGGGTGGTCCCCTGGCTCCGGTGCGGCGTGGCCGGCTTTCTTGTGCATGTTTCTGGCCCGCTGCCTCCTCCACAGGCATTGACAGCAACCAGCTCTCTTGCACAGCAGATTCTGATAGCACGTCGGCCGCCAGCTTTAAGTCGGGCTCTGCTGCCTTGTCCTGCGGCAGTCAAAACCCAAGCCACAAAATATCTGGTTGCTATGCAACAGTGCTCTGCCCTTGTTGCCACTGGCCCGGACTGAGCAGTCTTGAACTACTTCAAGGCCCTGTTTTACAAGGATGCCGTTCAGAAGGGTGAGGACCCACCCTACTACAGTGTGATCTCGTGTTGACTCAGCTGATGAACTCTTCAAAGACCCTTCTTCCAAACCAAGTCACACTCCCAGGGCCCCAGGGTTCGGACTTCCACAGAGCTTCCAAAGCACACAGTTCGGTCCACAACACTGGATATCGAGGTGTCTGTTCAGCTAGGGTGGTTCTTTGGTGATCCCAGGAAATGCGCTCTCAACAGCCACAAAGCACAAAGGGCTTACTTATTTGTTAGGTGGAACATTTTTAAGTTCCCTGAGTAAATAGATCTTTGTGTGAACAAATCAAGCACAGCGTGTCCTGGCTGGAGAGTGTGTCCACTTCTCCAGAGCTGACAGCTTTAGAGAGGGAGGGAACACCTACTGGACGGTCCCTGGGCTGGGGGTCTCCAAGTTCACTTGCCACCAAAGCATGGCCAGAGGCCGGAACTGGCAGCCATCATGCGTGCCTGCAGCCCTGACCGCACCCCACACTCCTGCTCCCCCTGAGCGAAGGCTGGGGGACAGGGGGTGTTTCCAGCACCGACTGTGCCCCCCAGCCCTTGCCCCTGACTCAACTAGGGTGACTGATGATCCCGGTGTACCCAAGAAGCTTCCACGTCCCTGAGAACCCCCAGATCGCAGGCAAATTGAGATGATTAGTCACCCCAGTCTGAAATCACAGATTAGAAGCAGAACTCTTCTCACATCGTGCGAGAAGAGAGACAGGCCTCCTGAGGATGTTAAACAGCTGTTTTAACTCTGTCCCTGGGATATCAGTTCACTTCTTCAACAACCCAGCCTCCGAAGGGGCTGTGTTTCTCATTATCTTTGGTCAGGTTCCTGTTTGTTCTCTAAACCAGAGGGGAGCTTCTACAGGGAACACTGCTGGATAGGGCAGCTCCACCCCAGCGGGGGGCTCAGGGGCCACCCCTCCTTACTCCTCATCACCACTGACGGGGCGGGGGCGGATGGTGGACGTCCTCATGCATCTCATTTTCTATCCTCCTCACTTCTTCATCCAAAAGCCTGAGGCCGTGGCCGTGTTTGCCGTCATACATCCTCTTTCCTGGACTAACTCGTGTAAAGGCCTGGGAGGGTCCACTCAGGAATGCAGAAAGGGGCCTCGGCCTTCTTTAAGGCCTAGTTATGCAGTTGCTTCCAGATCTTTCCAAAAAGTAACAGGGATTATAGATGGAAAATTGATGCTTTTTGAGCTGTGGTGCTGGAGAAGAGTATTGACTGCTAGGAGAACAAACAGGTTCATCCTGGAGAGGGTGAAACCAGGCTGCTCCTTGGAGACAAGGATTCTGAAGCTTCATCTGAGATACTTTGGACATGTTGCAAGGGGGGAGCAGTCCTTGGAGAGGGACGTCATGCTTGGGAGGATGGAAGGACAGCACAGGAGAGGAAGACCTTCAATGAGATGGATTGATTCAGAGACTGGGGTAACGGGGATAGATGTGTTAGAGACATTAAGATTGGCACAGGATAGAGCAGGGTGTAGGGCTGTTGTACATAGGGTTGCTATGAGTTGCAAGCGACTTGATGGCACAAAACACAACACGTACAGTCAAGGCCATCGGACACATCCCAAGGTGAGCCTAGTCCGAGAGTCCACATCATCTCTGCACCCTGGTGCTGTGTGTGTGATAGCTCCTGCCCCCTCCCCAGCCCATGCCTGCTCCTCTGTCAGTGATTGGCCGCTCACAGCTTTGGAATAACATCTCAGCGAACCCCAAACAGAGCGGCATCAGTTGGTACCAAAGTCCCCATGTTTTCTTCACCACAGTTTCCTGTTGTCAAAAAACAGGATCTGGAACAATCACCCAGTGGGGCGGATTAAATGGATTCCCATTCCTCCATCTCCAAATTTGCTCAGCTGAAAGTTACCTCAAATAAACTCCCTGCCTTTGAGTCGGCTCCCGCTCACAGGGACCACAGAGAACAGAGACAAGCAATGTCAGGGGTCTCCAAGGCTGCCCCCTTTGCAGAAGCGAACGGCCTCATCTCCCAAGGAGCATCCAGGGGGCTTGAACCAACCAGTCAGCAGCCACGCTCTTCACCACGGCATCACCAGGGCTCCGTTAACTTAAGTATCCAGACTCACTCGTTGTTGTCAGATTGGAACCCACTCACAGCCGACCCTCCTCCAGGATTCCCAAGGCTGTAAACTGCACAGGAGGAGAGTGCCCATCTTTCTCCTGATGAGCTGAACCAGCAGAGAAGCCCCACCCCTGCATTAGCAGTGCAGCCCCCTGCACACCATGCCATCAGAGCTCAGGTACCAGCATGACGAATCAAAGAGCCAAGGGGCACAGGGACGAAAAGGCAGGTGTGGGTCTGCCTCTGCTGGGCCCCCGCGTGGGCTTCTGTCTCTGCCCATCAGTAGATCGCTCCCCACCACCACCACCCGCTCCTAATCTTCGCACCCTCCCACCCAGCCCCTGAAAGTTGCACTCCTCCACATTCTATCTCGGTCCCTTGGTGATTGTAACTTGTTCTTCCTATTGTCGAGTTAGGACGTGAGGACCATACACTCCAAGCTGCCCAGGGGGTTGGCGTCTTGTGGTTGGAAGAACATATGTTCATCTGGGACACTGGTCCCTGAGATAGGACATCTCATCTGTTGTCCCGGCTGCACCCTGGGGCATGGGACTGTGTCTTCTATGCTGACGTTGTCTGGTCACCAGCCATCAGTGTTCAGCCATCCAGTCTCCTAAGTTCAGACCCTCAGGGGCAGAGTTGGGTCTTCTGGACTTGTTCTCGTATTCTTCAGCTGTAACCTGAGTTTGCACATAAGCATTTGCTAGCGTCTTTGCAGTTTTCTTTTCCCACAACCATCACAATTTGCCATTTCCGAGACATTTTCATCACCTTGAACAGGAATTATGTACCCAGTAAGCACTCCCAGCCCCATTTGCCCTGATTTCCTGCCTGTCTCTCTGTACTCACCTGTTCAAGGCACTTCTTGTAAATGGAATCACACAGCACTGGTCTTCTGTGTGTTCCTTAGCTCGCCCTGCGTCTTGTTTCAAGGTCCACTGCTTGTGGCCTGCACCGGGGCTTCATGCTCTTTGTGGCTGAGCTTTATTCCATGGCCTGACCGCCCCACTTCTCTATCCATTTATCCACTAATGGGCTTTGGCATTTTCTTTTTAACCCGTTGGCTGTTGTGACTAATGCTGCTATGGAGATTCATATCAAAATACCTGCTGCCTGCCTCTAGGTGTTTTGAGGCCAGGAGGTGCCAGGCCACATGGTAGATCTAGAGTTAATATCTGAGGAACTGGCAGTCGTCTCCACAGCAGCTGCGCCTTTTACATTCCCACTGGGCAGAGCCGAGGGTGGTGATTTTTCCACATCCCTGCCCACACTTGTGATTTTCCACTTGGGGGCTGTTGGGTTTTTCTAACAGCCATCCTGGTGAGTGTGAGGCGGGATCCTGCTGTGGTTTGATTTCATTTCTTGGACACGGAACATAAACCTTCTTCCAAGTCTCTCAGAGGAGCCCTAGTGTACTGTGGTTAAAGCGCTTGACTGCTTACTGAAGGGTCAGCGGTTCCAACCCACCAGCCACTCTGTTGAGAGTAAGATGGGGCCACGGGAAGATGACACCTTGGAAGCCCTGGGGGCAGTTCTCTGTGCCGCAGGGGTGTCATGAGGGGGATGTCTTGATAGCGGGGAGGCTGGGCCTCTCCTCCCACTAAGCCTTCAGAGGGCCTTTGCTCGCTCATGCTCTGGTGTAAGTGGTTTTTAAGGAAGAAAGGTCAGAGATTACCTCAGAGGACTGGACAGGCGCCCAGCACCTTCTCTTCCTCACTGTCCTGTCTCTGTCCTGTCCTCATGGCCTAGGTCCAGCGACTTGGGGAAGGCCACTGCCGAGCCCACACTGCAAGACGACTTGCCAGAGATGTTCGAGAATCCTCTGTATGGCTCCATGAGCGCATTCCCGAAGCTGCTTCCTCGGAAGGAGCAGGAGTCCCCCAAGATGCTGAGGAAGGAGCCTCCGCCTTGCCCAGACCCCGCAGTCCCCTCACCCACCATCCTGCTCACCAAAGCCCAGGAGCCGGAGGCCTCCAAGGGGACTAGCAAGCCGGGGCCTGCGCCCTTCCTCAGCCCCACGCCCAGGCTGCGCTCCTTCACCTGCTCGTCCTCGGCCTCCGAGGGCAGGGCGCCCGAGAAGACCCCGGGCAAGCCCAAGGCCCCCGCAGGCGCCCAGGCGCCCGTGCCCGCCAAGCGGCCGGTGAAGCCGTCGCGGTCCGAGCTGAGCCAGCCGCCCACGCCCGTGTGCCCACCTGCACCCGCGCCCGCGCAGCACCGGCCACCCCTGCCCATCAAGAGCCCTGCTGTGCTGCACCTGCAGCACTCCAAGGGCCGTGACTACCGCGACAACACGGAGCTCCCGCACCACGGCAAGCACCGGCCCGAGGAGGGGTCCCTGGGCAGAACCGCCATGCAGGTGCGCGCGCGCACGGGATCGTGTGTATGCACACGTGTGTATGCATGTGCGGGTGCACGAGTGTGTGCGTGTATGCATGTGTGTGTGCGTGCAACTGTGGATGTGTGTGGATGCATGAGTGTTCGTGTATGCATGTGTGTGTGCATGCAACTTTGGATGTGTGGATGCATGAGTGTTCGTGTATGCATGTGTGTGTGC